GGGGGGGGGGGGTGGCTTTGTCGGGCGAATTCTTGCGGTTTCGGAGCAATTACCTTGACTGAACGTTAACGATCGTTCGTAAATCAGGATAGGGTCGGTACGGCGGCGGCTATTCTATCGACGATGAGCGCGCGATGGCAGTCATCGCTCGACCGGCGAATCGCGCGAGCACCGAATCTCACCTCGAAATACGCCGTGTTTTTCTCCTTTCCCCGGCGTTATTTACCTGTAGGAAAAACTCCTTCATCAAATAATGCGTTGTTTGCCGCCTCTCCCCTCGGGATCCTCGGGGAACAACATAAATTTCGCACGTTGTAGAAATAACAATCGACGACACGAGACGTTTCGCTTTAACTCCTCCGTCTCTTAGATAGATTTTGAAATTTCTCGAGAATTTTTTTCTCAACGTGTTATTCTGAACGAGCTTAAAGCGTCTTCTTTATTTAGGAAAGCCCGAAAAATTTTTGCGCTTGAAACTCAAATGAATATAAAATGCTCGTCTTTGAAAGGGAGCCGGGCATTGTCATCACGACGACGGGCGCGACGGCAAAGCGCTAAGTCGCCTTTGTACACACGACAATTCTAGCTTAATGCAAAATGCACGTGCAATTGTATGTCGACAAAGTGCTCGATGGTAGGACTCATCCGATGGAAACTCGTCGGATTTGAGGATCCAATGACGCTTTGTCATTAAAGTCATTACGTCATCCATCAATAGGTGCCTCCTAAGCCTGCTGGGTCCGCAATTCAATGCCAACAAAGCCGCATTTACCGATTGTACTACGCCTCACAATAACCGGCTATGCAGAAACGTTTGAATGGCAACAATGTCCAACTACGGTTTGTGGTGGAGTAGCCGATTTCTCTATGCGTTACCATCACCGCGCATTATCGCGTTACTTGACCCGAGAGCCGCCTTTAACAAGATCAAAACGTATTTTGTTTCCTCTCCGAAAACTCATTTCGCGTCTTTGTGCGCGTACATATACGTGTGTGCGTTCGAGCGTGTGCGCGTGACATCTAAGTAATTAAGTCTTCACAGACGTGTTTTGTTCCTATAATTTCTTGACATTCCCAGCTTTCCGTAATTCGTCGTAATTTTCAGGCAAAGATCCCTTTGTCCTTTTCCCTCCGTACCGGCCTGACTGCTCGGTAAACGGCCTTTGTGCGAGTAATGAACGTCTATGATTCCGTTCTGCTTAGCTCGGATGTATTATAAATTCGGTTAATTCGGTGCGCGGCAAATTTCAATCATGTCGCCGAATTCATCGGCGATTACTCGATTACGTATGCAGTTTGGCCACACCGTGGCCGAGTGACAGATTAAAGGCCAGGTGGATTAAAGCGAGCGGATCCCCACGGTGAGCGCGCGCTGCGAGCCTTATCGCGTTTATTTCCCGCCACGGCGTTAATTGGGAATTCACGAGATCTACGGGTAAGTAGATATAGCTCGTGACAAACGTTACGAAAAAGGAAGAGAAATCAATCGTCGCGAGCGAAAGATTTTCAGCGTCGGAAGGCTCTAATTGCCCCCGTGAGCGTAACGGATTACACGCGTTTTCGCGATGTCGCATGACACCGGTCGCCGGAAAACAAAAGGCCGCATGGTGATGGATGGGTTCCAGACGATTGAAGCGGCATGCCGGCTTTCTGTTTCAGGTGGCATGGCTGCGGGTGGACACGCAAACCATCCTGACGATAGCCAATCACGTGATAACGAAGAATCACAGAATCGGCGTCACGCACAGCGAGCACAAAACGTGGCATCTACACATACGTGATGTCCGGCAGAGCGACCGGGGGAACTACATGTGCCAGATAAACACTGACCCGATGAAGAGTCAGATTGGTTATTTGGAGGTTGTAGGTTCGTCCATTGTGCCCTCACGCACCGAATTAATATCGCAGCCGGAAGTCCGGAGGCTGCGTTCCGATGGAAAAACAACCACAACAATTAAAAAAAAACCGCGAAAAGCGGGCCTTTTGTTTTATTTTTTTTTTTTTATTCGCCCGAATTCGCTTGTTCGAAGGTTGAACGAAGCGGTAACGTACGCGAGGAGGGGTGGGGGTAAGGGGAGAGGAGGAACAGAACGGACGACTAGGGAAATCAAGTTCGTTTTGGGTCTCGCTCGTAGCGGGTTTCGCTCTTTTGAGGATGCGCCATCGCATACAGCGATGTTTAAACCGCCGGACAAACGGCATAACAAAAATCGTTTCGCCCGGCGGTAACCGATCGTCTCCCTTCGATAGGGGAGATGAGAGGGATTTCATACCAGGGGAGAGTTGAGACATTGTTAATTTCTTTCGAACAGTTGGTGGTACACTCTTTTGACTGAAACACGGGATGTGTCTCTATATGACATTTATGAAAACTTAGTTTGCCAAGTTGTAAAGATTATAATTTTAAATCAAGGTAAGTAAAACCATACACACACACACACACACAATTTTGACTATCGGAAGTGGTTATTTTCTTCCTATGATATTTATCTCCTTGAGACAAATTATTCAACTTTACAATTTATTATTTAATTGCTTTGTTCTTAATTATTAAGGTAATTCATTCAGATTTGGTATGAATTTCCTCAGAGAGTAGAGTAAGAAATCAGTCCGAATTTTTGTTGTCGTGAAATTTGGAAAACAAACGCCACAGAGGACAAAATGTTAAAATTGACCCAACTCCTCCCTCGTCTCCCCTATTTTCGCGTGTTTTCCGCTTCTATTCGTCCCGATTACGGTATCGTTTTATACATCGTCAATGCGAATGATCCGCGGCGGGATGAATGCGAATGCTGATCGCGATTTTTATCCGACAGTTCCGCCGGATATCTCGGACGACTCGACTAGCACGGATATGGTGGTGCGGGAGGGCAGCAACGTTTCACTGCGTTGCGAAGCAACAGGGTCGCCCAAGCCAAACATTACCTGGAGAAGGGAGGACGGCGAGTTGATTAGTCTTGGAAAGAATCTGGAAGGTAAACTACTCACAAGCTGTTATAATAACAATTCCGAGAACGAGAAAGCTTAATGGTTCGTTAAAATAACCCGGTAATTTTATCTTTCGAATCAGCGAGAGACCACCCGGACGGTTTTACGCAACAATGTGTTTATAAGATGGAATAAGAAAATTCCTCTCTGAAACTCGCACGTTATCCTTACACCGGCGTAATTACGCGCGTCTTAGGAGATTTCACGGAATTGTCGCGCAAAGTACAAATGACGATTTGACGATTCCCCCTCTCGGATAACTACGTTTCAATCGCTCCCGATGGATTTCGTCGAATTCCCCGGGCGTACGCCATTTTCCATAATTCGCACACGTAAACGACAGGTGGCCGGGGGTGAAGGGAAATTCTCGATCGTTCTCCCGACAACGACGGTACTTATTTTATTCGCATCGTTCATCTTGAAAATCGCCGTAGGAAGAGCGAGCGTGCGCGAACGAGCGAGCTAGCGCACCTGAAACACCGGATTCACTCAACGCGGGGGACGACGATTTATCATTCCGCCTCTCGGACTTTATTCAGCTGACTACGTTGCGTGATGCAATTGCATTCGAAGCTGCCGATGCGACCGTGTCGGTGACGTCAAAGTGAAATATGCGTTTCAGCCCTTATGCGTCTCGCACAATAACGCCAAGGAAAATCGAGCGTCCTCGTTCGCACCTGTTCGAACAACGGCGACTTTATTCCGCGGGTACAATAACAATTTATCATCCTTTTGTCTTTCAAACTTATTGAGCCGTCTCCCGCCTCCCCATGCAGTTCCGTTAAATATTTGCTCCCCTTTGTGTACACTTTATGCACATGTCCCCCGCGCCCCCGCGATAATTTATAAGCGACGTTTCTTTTTTGCCCCGTGGCACCTTTCCCGAGTTTGACCTTGTTCCTCGCGCAAAGAGAGACGAATGTGCGCATTTTAAGCGAAAAATGTCTTCTATAAGGCAAAATATAACTCGGTCCGCGCGCGGAGGCTTTTATGCAAATGTCTTGTCCGCGCGCAAGTAATAACGCCCGCCGTGAACAACGATTACTTATCGCTCCTACGTGTATTTGTATATACATATTCGATAATTCACTCGCGCGAGATAACCTTGCGATTTTTCCCCGTATTTTTAACCCGCTCGCTAATGCCGTTTAAACACACCGTCCGTCGTAATGACTCACTGATGCAGATACAATATCTATTTATCATACCTATTGTCTTCCCAAATTTATTGAACCGTCGTTTTGCATAATGCCGGTTCTGCTGACAGCGAAAACATTTATTCCGCTACGCGTGCAGTTTATTCGCCTCCCCGCTTCATTTAACATCATCTGCCAACCATTTGAAATGTCCGGCTATCGAAATTTATTATCCTTTCGTTAACGTTTATCTCCTGTTTCGCGTTTCCGATATAACATATTTGTTATTAAAATCCACAACGTCATTCGCGAGATGATATCTTTTGCAATATCCGATTATCCGTATTTTACAATACAACTATCAAGAAGTGTCACCACTTTCCCCCACGCGGCGAAACGTTTGAATTTGGCACTCGACGCCGCTTTTCTCTCGCTTCTCCCATCCCTCTCTTTTGTCTTCTCGATCGCATATTTCTCCGTTTGTTACGGGCGCAATTTTCTTTCACTCGCTCATTCCTTCGGGAAGATACGTCTACGACAGTCCGCTCGTTTACGCGAGACTTCTTTCTGTGACTTTCTCAATTTTTTCGTCAATAAGTAGGAAGTTTCCTTTTCGCATGTTCTTACTCCCTACTTGTTTGACTTGCGCGCTTCTTTTGCGACCATGAAAACTCTCTCTTTCCCGGACTCCATCCTATCCGGTTTATTTCCATTTCAATCTTTGCTCTATACTTGCGCCAACTGTTTCGTCCCTTTTCATTTTTAGTTCTTAAGAATAGATCGCGGTATTTCCTCTTTTTCACTCCTCCCCCGCCACCGTCGGTTCTCAAATATCCTCGACGAGTGCGCTTGCTTGCCGCTCTTTAATTCGCAAATATTCTTCGTCTTGACACGTGCCATTCTTCTTATTTCCCCGTTCTCCTTTCCGTCCTTTTCAACGTCTTTATCGCTCAGGTATTGTTTCCGGCGATCCATACTTTAATTAACGAATTCTTCCTCCTCTTTTCCTTTCCTCGCTCGCATACTTTCTTACTGCAGTTTCCACTTCGCGATTACCACGGCCCTTTCCTCTCGTCCGCCAAAGTCCCTCTTCTTCTACCCTGCTCTTTTTCTCACGGCAATCACGAACAGTCACGACAATCCACCCTTCTCTCGACGCGCGCGCTTCAACTTCTCGCATTCTGGCATCCTTTTTCACTCGCGAGCTCTTTCCGTTCTTCCGACTGCCTTTTTCGCCCTCGAGTAAACGCCCCTCCCCCCCTTCACGCACTCGCTCTCACGAACACTCTGTTCTCGCTCATGTATGCGTGAACAAAATCCCAGATAAATCGCCAAACCTATTTGCCGGAAACTGTCCGCAAATACTAGCGGGGAAATAAAGTTTCGCCGGTCGCGGAATAGTGCGAAGTTTCGGGGGACCTTTGTGTCGATCGCGCTGCGGGGGTACTTTCCAGTCTGCGCTTTCGTCCGAAGTTGGCCGGAGCTATCCCGCGCCATCCGATATTTTTGTAATTTATACGCCGATACATATTTATGGCGCTTTGTGACGCCTGCTAGACGGAGATTACCGCGACAAAACCGCGCGCTCGTCCAAAATCGTCCGGCTGGTTGGATCGTAAATTATTAGAAGCTCAATCCGCGCGCGTGCGGTCGCCGTTGTGAATTCATAAATAGGCCATTACCCCGATTTATCATTAATTACGTGCGTTATCTACGCGCAAATAATATCCCCGCCGATCGGATCCCGTCGAAGATGACAATTTATGTGTCTCTCTGTCGATATGTATATATAATAACACATGCGGAAGTGAACTGAACCACGGCGGAAAGGCGGCGGAAAAGTCGCGGAATATTCGGCCGAAACGACCGCGGCCGTTTTAATTACTTCATTAGTCGAAAAAGCCGCGTTAGCTTAATACGAAAATCTGCTGCAAGGGAAATGTAAAATGTATTAAACGTAGTTGCCGCCGTTATCGTTCCCTCTTTCTCCCTCCGCCTGTTTTCCTTTTTCCTCCTTCCTCACTCTCTCTCTCTCTCTCTCTCTGCCTCTTCTTCGTTTTTTTCCTCGGCGCGGCGACGCTCGTATAAATCGGCACTCGCAACTAATTAACTAAAGAGCCCGCGCACGGCGGCTCGCGTGGTCCGACCGCTGGTTTACAGTTTATCTCGTATGCAGGTGATTTCAGGCCGAGTCAGCAGGCGTTTCAATAACATAAATCGTCTTGCACAGAGATTAAACGACGGTGCCGACGAAGTCGTTCCTCAACGACTCGAAAATTCATTTCCTCTGAAAATATCGAGCTTTTTGATCTCACATACACGCGCACATACGCACGCTGAAATAAACGTTCGCGCTCCGTCCTTCAGAGTTGATTTTTCTGTCTGTCGTAAATATTTGAGACTGTAAATACAGCTCGTGAACGGCGAATATCATTTTGAATAGGTACACGGAACTCTATGAAGCTTTAATACGACAATTTATCCAGGTGCATTCTGCGAGGTAGACGCCTCGGAAAGTTAAGGATAACACGCGAGTTTTAAGCAACGGACATTCAGCGTGGCCCTCCTGACGGCTGCTCCTGCTGCCGCCGGAGCTGCGACCGTAACGGAGAACTCGTGTTCGGCTTACGTCGGGAAACTTAAGAAATGCAAGCGGACGAGCGTGCGGCGACGTCTCCCACCGGTGGAATTCCTTAACTTGGAAATTTCATGCCGCGCATTTTGTCCCCACGTACGGATCCTCTAATCCACATCCGTTAACTTCGCGACTTACGAATCCGCCAGACCCGCGTCGCGACCCATTTTCGCGAAACATGTCAACGTATCGCCCCGGCGGAGATAAAAAAGTTCCTCGTACGTTTAATTAACAAAGCGCGCAGCTGTGCGTTCTCTAATGGAGGCGAACAAGGGAAAAAGAATAAACTCATCGGTATGCGTTGGCGTCCGTTGCGCGCGCTGGATATCTCGTTGGAAAAATGATTTCGCGTTAAATTGAATTCCATCCCCCCCCCGAAAATTATCAGGCGACATTATCGGGAGTGTAATTGTGGGAGCGAGCGTCGGAGGACCCGCGTCGTCGTTGGAATCATTCCTACTGTGGATATCGATTTCATTGCGATTACTCGCACCTACCGGGAGAGATGATAGAGAGCCGGCTGCATCCACCGAGCGTACATTTATAATATTCGTAAGCGGGGGAAACTCGAGTAAGATACACGCCGGCAAGAAACAACCGACAAGTGTTTCGCCTGTAGTACAAGGTCGGTTTTGCGAGCGGCGGGTACGCGAGATATCCAATGTTAACGGAGATTAGACCGCGCGGCAAGAACGGTGGTGCGGTGATTAGTATCGGTTACGCAGAAGTACAAAGCAACCCAGTCGACGTGTATTAATTCAAATCCTGATTGCGGAATTTTTTGCCGGGTCTGATGAAAATTTCTTACCGACGCGTCCGCGTTCGACTTACGTTGCAACATCGCGCTCGAACGGAGGAAACGAGAAGGAGAATCGCGATTATTCGAGGGGAAAAGACAGATCCTCGCTTGATTCCATAATCGTGGCACACGAGTCTAATCGGCATCGGCAATAATGCTGTGTAACGAATGTATATCCATTTGGTCCATCGTGTGTCTGTCGTAGTGCCCAGCATTGAAGGATCGATCTTCAATATCACGAAAGTGAACAGACTGCAGATGGGAGCTTATCTTTGCATCGCGTCCAATGGCGTGCCGCCGACGGTCAGCAAGAGAATTATGCTCGTTGTACATTGTAAGTACTCTGCGGGAGAATTAATGCGTCTCTCTTCTCTCTGCGAGAAAGCACTTCGAAGTGTCTGAGACAATTTTGCCGAAACAACTCCTTCGAGAGTTGCTCCCAAATATGCGAAAAAGCGCGCGAGAAACGTGTCTTCCGCTTCTCCAAAGACACTTCTAAGAGTTTTCTTCTTAATTTAATGCGTCTAATTAGTTCAAATTAGTTCTAAGTTTAAATCTAATTAATTGAACAATGATATGCGCTAGTGTAAAAAAAAATCCTCTCTCACCTTTCTTCTCGGTGTTAACAGTTACTCCAATGATTTCGATCCAGAACCAATTAGTGGGCGCCCAAGAAGGCCAGCAAATGACGTTAGAATGTTACTCTGAAGCATATCCCAAATCCATCAATTATTGGACAAGAGAGGACATCATTATATCAAACGGTACGTTCTTAAATTCACGGTAACTTGTGCGAATTAAAGCGTCCGAATGACAGAAGTCGCTCGAGAAAGCTCCTCAGGGAATATTATTCGAAGCGGAGACGAGCTCGGCGAGAGAGACAGAATTACACGCTGTCGCGACGACGTTAATTCCATCAATAACATCGCTAATTCTTCCAACATTGACAATAATTGTTACGGTGGTGGCAATAATAACGGATCTGTAGAACGCCACTTCCGCGTATGCCACATGCGCGCGACCCACCCCCCCTACCCTGCCATCATTTAATGAATGGTAATCGAACTCCGCTGCGTCGACATACTTAACCGTACTTTATCAACCGACAATACACGACCCGGTTTGCACGTCGAATCTATTTATGTCAGGACTCCAGAATTTAAAGGTCGTTATGAACGGTTCACATCCTGACGGGATTTCGCTCGCCAACGCGAAATTGGAGCCAGTTTTCCGGAAACGTATTGTTAAATCGTGAGGAAAACGTTACGGAAAAAGGAAGAAGCACACGTATGTACTTATCTGGATGCAAAGCTTTATCATTAGTACGCTTCTACGCTGAGATTGTAGTACGCTTCCTTAATTCGACCACATTTGGGATATGCAAGCGTGATTTGGCCGTTCCTAACATCCGGGTACATTTATCCACGTACAGTTCCCATCTGGGAACCCCTATGGATATATTTGACCACGGCTACTCTCGGATTATGGCATGTATCAATCTTCCCTGTCTTGGTGCTCGGTGACAAATAGCGGATACAGCTTTTTTGCGTAATATTATAACGTCTAACATCGATCGCTCAAGCTTCAGTTAATTTTAATGTCAGTCCTAGACTATTCAGGTTCCGTTACTTCGTCTATTCGTACCGGTCCAATTAGTCTCACGTGGATCCCATTGCAAGGACAATTTTGCACGTCACGTCTCGTGATTTCTTCTCCCCATCAATTAGCAAAATGAAGCAATCAGTAGTAATATCAGCGGCATATCGCTGACAAAATGCCACCCTAATTATAAGGTGCAATCAAATGTCTTATATCGTTAACTTTGGTATCTCTAAGTTAAATAACGAAGCAATCAATGAATTTCTCGCGCTCGAAACAGATGACAGGGACAAGCTAATACGGTATTCTCACGGCCGGCATTTAATCCACAAAGTACGCACTAGAGGCGGTCGATGAGCCGGCCGTTCAACGAGAGCGTCTGCGGTGCGCGTTCGCTTACGCACGCATACGTCACGTATACACGCGCGTATGCACGTGAGCGCGGCAAATCAGACCCGACAATGCACGCGGCGGGTATGCGACGCGTTGCCGAAAAGCGGCGCGAGCCGCATGTACGCATAATTATTTCGGATAATTAGACATGACGCCGGCGCGAGCGCGCCCGTGTAGTAACCAGTACGGAGTAATGTACCTTCGGATCCATTAATGCGCGGGGCCGACTCCGCTCCGGGGCGCGGATGCGCGCGGACGGGTAAGAACCGGCGGGCGGCGATGCGAGAGATGCCGTCGCCTGTGTCTGCAGCTGCTAATCGCACAGCTAATTAGGTTAATTTCGGATCGCTTCTGCCGGCGCACCTGCAGCGACGGCAGGCGGCGAGACGCGACGCGTTTTGCTACCCGGTGATCGATTGCCCGGAACCGGCGCGATTTCCATTTGCGAGCCGCGCGCGGGAGATTAATCTTTGTTTGCCGGCCCCGAGATTTTTATATCGCAGGCTGGTTTTTGGAAATGCCGCGCGTTTTCTGCTCGCGGCCGAATGGCCTTCCGTTATCCGCGACGGAATCTGGGGCCGCGAATAAACCGGATCGCCGTTGACTTATGGGGCGAGTGACTTTTTATCCCGCGATAAGCGATAGAAAAGACCTGTAGAAATGTTGTAAAGAAATCACAAGATCATTGATCGTCTAGTTTTCCGCATATTTATATGAGATAATATGACAGTGTTATCGCGCGCGCCGATCAGACTTTTAAACGCACGCGGGGAGTCTTCCTTTCACTTCAAACCGATCCTGTATCCTGATTATTAATTAGATCCCCAAATAGCCAATTAAAAATTATGCATTTGTGCGTTAATTAACTTTCTAACAAGTTGCGACAAATATTGCCTCAGCCAGCAGCCGAGCTTGGACGATAACATCGTCAAATGTGTTATTCTTTCATATAACGGGCCTTTCTGTTTTCTTTGATTGTGTATCTTAAAATCTTAATAGAATTAAGAAAACATTATACTGTTTCTTGCTATAATATCAAATCTGTACGTCATAAGTCATGTTTGTATACATTTAGCAGAAATTGTTTCTCTTCGTGCTGTATTAACCTTTCTAACGGTATTGTCACGGACCAGCCACTTGCTAAACGGCGGTACGCACGATCAACGATTGCCGGATCGCCCTCGGCGGCACGTCAGACCGCAAACCGTGTCCGGTTTTACATTCACGGCTCGCCGGGTATCGTCGAGATACCCATTTCCTCGAGAAACGCGCCTCCACGACAACGCCTCCGAGGATATCAAGGGACGCAGGGATTTTATAATCCCGCGGAGTACTCGAAAGTTGCGATCGCGGCGTTTTCCGCGTGGGAAAACGCTCTCTCTCTCTCGTTCGGAATGGAAAGCCCGAACCGAAGGCGGCGATCGTTGCACGGCGTTATCCGCCGGATGGAAAGCACGCGAATTACGAATGGGTTAACTGTCAAGTTATCTCGCATTATATTCCCTTGTCAACCGCATATGCCCCCCGGTGTTTCGGCGTAACAGTTACGACATGCTTTACGATTCAACGTTGCGCGGATATGCGCGGCTCCGCTAATGCGAATTCGGCGCACGCTAGCCGCGCCGAGATCAGATATCGGCCGGCCGGTTTTCGCATCGGCCATTCATCGGTAACGCGACACGTGGCCGGGCGTTGCGGTGAATAGCGGGGGCGCGCGAAAAATGTGCTCGATTTTCGGATCGAGCCGAAAATACTCGGCCGGCGAATTCGTTATATATATTCGGGCAGCATTTTTCCGCGCGCAAAGGGGGACTCGACAATAAAACAAATATCGCGGTAACGATATCCGGCGCAGCTCGCGCAAACACGCATATTCGGCGAGCTTTAATATGTATTCGAAAGAGCGAACCAACCTAGCGCGCATTTTCGCCCGGCCGTAGAATGCGTTTTATCGTGAGAGCTCGCTGATGGCGCGCCGCGGCGAGATTATGGGAGAATCGCGACGCGAAATTACAGCGTGTCGCGGGAACGAGCGAGCGAATTCGACTGCGAAATTGGACGCTGGTAGGGAAAGGGGCTCCGCGGAAAAGGGCGAAAATTCCGCCAAGGCACAAAAGCGAAAGTTTTCAGCGGGGTCATTGAAAATTTTTTCCCGCACAGGAACGGTGGCGCGCTTATAAAGCTTTATGGAACGTATCCGGGGCGCTGGGGAAATTCATGAATTTTCCCGCGAGCAAATTCGAAGTTTCGCCGGGCGTTTCCAGTCACGCAGCTCAATCGACGGAACGCTCAGGCATAGATACCGCGCACCGTCGTCCATTTTCCGCGCGGAGGAAGGAGAAACTCGCGTCGTAAAGCGGCGGAAAGTACTATTCTATTATGCCGCGCGATAGTCGGAATCATATAATGGAAATGGCCGTCTCGCGCGATATCGCTCACGCCACGGCACGGCAATGTGCGCCCGGATATACGAGAGCAAGGGAGTTTCTTTATATATTTATATATATAATGCGTAATATAATATATTCGAAGTGGAAGGATTAGGGCCGGATGTTCCACAGAGAGAGAGTACCATTTGAATAATAATATAATTAATATTAATATCATTTCTCCGAGAAGATACATGTTAGTTGCGCGTACTAAACGTACATCCGAATGTTTTATTCGGCAATCGTACGCGGAGAATCTACCTTTCGTCCTAAACCGATTCCTTTAATTCCCAGAATTTAATTCCCGTTAACAATTATTTAGATCAATTGACAGTAATAATTGTCATAAGGCCATAAGCAACTAAGCGCGACTGTTTTAGTGTCACTGAAATAGTAATATTAAATATTAATATTATATTATTATCGTGTGTTTGCGAAACAGTGGTGTACCACGCGCGAAAAATAATAATAAGTGGAGGAAATAATATAGATAGATTTTTATTCAGTTTAGTTAGCATTTCGGGAATAAATTCCGGGTTTCCAAGGTGAAATCTATAAAAATTGACAATTGATATTACTGGGATTCTAAGGATCGGTTCATATGTGGCAGGTGGTCGCCGCGGTTTATTTGTCCGAGCGTTCGTTTGTTCGCTACGTTTCGCATATATACGATGGACAACTTGACCCTCCCATTCGTCATATTAATAATATAATATTAATATTCAACGGCACTGAAACAGTCGTTGTTCAGTTCCCGATGACTCTATACTGACAATTTAACTTTATTCGAAGCTGTGATCCCTTAAAATTATTTAGAATTTTCTTAAAAAGATCTTAATTCTATTTCTTTTTAATTCTACGTCTTTAGTAACAGCAAAACAGACCGTCATTACTTAATAATACATATTCGCTCTTTATGCACATAATATATGAGCTGCGTTAAACATCCTCCGAACGAGTTTGCGCGTCAAGTCGGGGGAGCGGCGGTCTCTCTCGAAACACGCGACTCGCGAAACTAAAAACGAGAAACTGCCGTTGTATTAATTACTGCGCGTATGTGTGCGCGATACGCTCGCGAGAGAATTCGGCGGTTTTAATTGAGCGCGAGAGAGAGGTGATAAATTGATCGTCGTATAAATCCAGAGCTGTCCAAGGATGCAGGGGGTGATTGAGAATTCGAGACCGCCGGTTCGTTGACAACGGGATTACGCCGTAAATCAGTACCTTCGGAAAACATAATCTGTCAGTGGGCAAACACGCGTTACGCGCCCGCCGACACTCCAATTCATTTTCCGCATAGAGTTTCCGACGGTTAGCAATTACACGATATTTAACGTTTCGCCGCTTTACGTGCGCCGGGTTTGTGTGTATCAAATTAGATCCGCCGGTGTTAAACTCATTACGGGCTTTAGCGATGCTTTCTTTCCTTTCCCCCTTTTTTTTTTCATTTTTCTTTCTCTTCCTCTCTCCCTCCCCACGTCGGTGTACATTCGTGGTCGAACCGGTGCGGTCTGTTTTTAAAGGAGCGCGTTTCCGCGTCACACCGTTGTATTCTCTCGCATGCTTTCTCTCTCTCTCCCGACAATTTCAAGTATAATTTCTCGCCCCGAAGAAATTTCATTTTCCGCGTTAATTACATTCGGACATTTAATGAATTAAAATTAAATATCGCGACAAGAATAACCCCCTATAGCGCGGAGCTTTAGCAGGAAACCTTTAAATGGAGATTCGTAAACCCTCTCCCTCCTGTGCTTACATCGCGCGAGCGGAAACGCGAATTATCGCGCATCTCGTATCGCGAATAAATTTAATTGCTTCCCCCGTGTTTTATTTCCAGCCTCTCCTTTTTTTTCGCCATCCTTCTCTGATTCTCGATTCGAACGACGCGCGAGCGCTTCTGCCGCGTGTTATTCCCCACGGTAAAATTGTTTATGTGTATGAATAATATTGATGTTATTCCGCCCGATGTTATTTCGCCGGTCTCTTCCCCCTCCCCGCCCCGTTTTATTTCCTCGGTGTCTTGCAGCTGTTTATTTTAATCAGACGGCAATCGCATTTCTTTCCATACCTTTCTTTTTTTTGCTTTCCCTTCTTTTTTTCGCGCCGGATCGTCCGATCGGAAATCTCATGGCGCGCGTGATCGACGGCACGGCCACGCGCGATTCCGGTCGGGACGGCGTTAGACGAAATTAAGCGTGAGCGATCGCCGCGGATGGAAATTACGTCGGCAGTTTGAGTTTCCAAGTCGGCGTGATTCATGTTCACATATGTCGGCGGGCCCGTGCGCGCCCACCGACGACGTGCGGAGATACGAGTAACACAAAATATCGGCCCTAGCCGACTTTTCGGGGTTTAAAAGCAGTTTTATCCCTGCAAAATCCATTCGACGGTGGGTAATGCTCGGGCGCCGTAGTTCAACGTCGTTAAACTTTTTCATCTGCTTTTCAAACTCAAAGCCGGCCGAAAGTTTTTCTTCCGCTTGTGGGGCTCGAATGGTGCCACTACATAAATGCATTCTACCCTTCCGCCGCCCTTATTCCACCTGCTGGTTTGCCCCTCCCTTCCCGCCTCCTTCCGAGCGCCTTACCTTATCACCCTCCCCCTTCTCCATTCGCACATTTCTCTTTCTCTATCTCGGGGAGAGGTAAGTTTTCCTTGCCGGTTGGGAAAATACTTCACCTCCGCTTTGCCGCGGGTCATTACACCTATAGATTTCACTCTCTCCCGAATGCGCCGCCACCTCGAATTGTTAATCAAAAGTTCTTTCCGCGGCTCGACCCCCGCCGGGACGTTATCGAGGAGAATCGAAACCGTTAATGCCGCGATTTGCGAGATCCATCGGCCGCCGGAGGGTGTTCTCTCTCTCTCTCTCTCACCTTCCTTTGTGTTCCTGTGTGGTAACGTCTCGCGGAGAATTTTCCGCGGCACGAACGATGCGAGGGAAAGAGGCGCCGGCAATTGGGACGTGAACCGCGTCTCGGCTGATAATTAAACGAACGTACAAAGTTCCGTGTCTTCGCGGCGCGGTCGGACTCTTTACGATTATGAGCTTCGTATCCGAGATTAGTTACGTGATCGCGCATAATTCTCCAGTTTCACTTTATGTTCCGTATTCTGTCGACAAGTAACGAGTGGTTGGCGTGTTCGCTCACCATGATAGCGTCGTACTCTCGCTCCATTTCGTTCTTAGCCCGGCGAGGTTTCCACGACGTCCGTTTTCCAGGAGATGCCGGTTCCACTCGCAGGAATGGAGGAAGGTACGACGACGTCGGTCGGCGGGAAATGCATGCGCGTCTGTTCAGGGAAAATGTGTTTCGATCCCGCGCGAATCGGACAACGAGGCGAGAACAAAGCGATTTAAACGGACGCAAGGAGAGCGGCAACGCGCGTTCGCGCGAGAAACCCTAACGCTAGTTTTTCCGGTTGACGGAGCACGAAGCACGGTGGAGCGTAAAGGCTTACCGGAAACGACAGATATTGGCAAATACATTTTCAAATATTACATTATACTCGGTCCGGCTGGCCGAGATGGATCGGGAACGCGAGTTTACCCTTTTCAATTTTCCCCGGCGATACGCGCGCGATGCCCATCGTCTCGTTTGCGGCGTCGTCGAGTGCGATAATTGTGCACGCGCTCTCGATCGAAGTTGATCCGGAGGTGAGACAGAAAAGAGAGAAAGGAAACGAGAGATCCGCGAAATATGTCTCTTTTTTTTTTTCGGTCCGGCGGACCGCTACAAGCGCAACAATGTGAGAGCTCAGATAAAGCCCGCGCATAAAATGGCAAGTCACATTTTAATGAAGTAATATCTTGCGGGAAATGTGGATATTACTTACCACGTGGATGTAGACCGATGCTCGGTTTGCGGGCTAAGTATGTATGCGCGATACATCCCCGTCGCATCAGCAGCGCTCCGGCTTTTCCCCGCGTAAAATGTGCAGTCTCAACGGAAGCAGCTTTCACCGTAGATTAAAACTAATTCCATAATTTTAACGAGAACAAAGAAGGCGTGAGAAGCATCTTTTATCTCGCTTGATATTTATTAAGCTTCTACAGCGTTAAGCTGGAATCAGAAACTTCACGCATTCCGCGTCTCTCGTTGTACTTTATACCCGTTTCATTTACATTCTCCCTTTTTCTCGCTCGATCTCGAGCGCGTGTTGGAAAAGTACACGTATTAATTGTATAACCGAAGAAAAAAGTACAGAGAGAGAGAGAAAGAGTCACACGCGCATAACGATACTACAGAGTTTTCAAATTGCAGGTGACAAGTACGAGCCGTCTTTCTCGGACAACGCGTACAAGGTGCACATGAAACTTATGATACGGTCAGTCGCTCTGTCCGATTACGGCAGCTATAAATGCATATCTAAAAATTCCCTCGGCGAGACGGACGGCAGCATCAAGCTCTATCGTAAGTACGATTTTACTCCCCGCGGGAATTACTTTTATTTCACGTGTCAACAAACGCCCGTATAATAATCCGCAGAAAACGTGTTCATATTCCTGTCCGTTAGCGCATAACAATTTTGTGATTTGCATAGATTTGCAAATTACCGCGTACGGTTCTGCTCGTTTTAATCCAAATTAAACTCAGCTCAATTCTCACGTATAAATTAACATTCTCATAAACGCGTTTTACACGATTACATAAATCAACCGTTTAGGAATCGATAACGCTTACTCTCCGTCCCGTCAAATATAATCGTTGATTGTACATTTTAATCATCCCTCCCCCGAGTCGATATTCTCGAGATTTATGTTAAACCTTTAATTCTATAACACGGGAGCTAAGATGTTGGTTCAATTTCAATTCTGATAATGTAATTTATTCGTACTTTGATCCTGACGATGTCTTAAATTTCCATTCTCGCTGTTTCAACGTCCAAATAGATTGCTCAAGATAGCATTAAAGTTAAATCTGTGTAGAATTTATAATGGAATTTATAATAAAATTACTAGGATTGTAGGTTGATTCCTCACGTACAGTTTGTTTGGGAAATATTCAGCAGGCGCGTCATTACGCGCTGAACATATTTATCCTCCCACAATAATATTAATATTGATAATATTAATTATTATTATTGTTAATATTACTTATTTATCTGCGAGAGGATTCCCTTTGGCACATTGACCACAAGTAAAGATTAATTTCCGTAATATTGAAAAGTGAGGAAAGAAAAAAATACAAAAATTTACATTAAAAAAAGTTTATAAATATTTTTTTCTTTTCATTTTTCTATTTATTTGTAATACTTATTTGTAATATTTAAGTGGCGCTGTAACATCCGTGCTTCGATTCCAAAAGTCCGTGAAATTTCTTCGTTTGGTTAAATCTGTAGAATTAAAGGTTCGAGAGGGGGAAGTTGACAAGTGTCGGTATCGTCGAAACAGGTTTTTATTCATTACATTCACGAAACATAACATTTAAAAGCGTCGAAAAGCATGGAATTTTCGACATTATTCGCGATTATTCGCTTCTCCTTTTCTCCATGCCCTGCTCTTTTCGATCGAATCCCCTTGTCATCATCTGCACGCGCCTTACATTCGCCCGCCGCGTGATAACACAACGACGACATCGCCGGTCGTCAAATCGTGAAATCCGATCGCGTGACGCGCGCGCGGACGCGATCGAAGGGCGATCCGGCCAAGTTACGATTGTAATCTCATATTAACGCGATATGATTCATCGGGGGCGTATATTTCGCGGCCGTCGAGCCGATATCGATTCGCGCGCCGATTTCGCACATTTGTCAAGCGGCCCGTTATCGGCGCGCGGTCGTTGCGCTTTCTTTCTTCCTCCGGTCGTTCGCGCGACTTTGGCCAAACGTTATCAGAAATCGTTAGTCGCGCGCGATGAAGAACCGTATCCAGCCGACGGATGAGAAATTAAGCATCCGTCGACGTTGCGAACAAGCAGGCAGCCCCCGCGTCGCTCCGAGCGATAAAGCGGGAGAGCTTCTTTCGACGGAGGCGGCGGTAAGCTGGAACGTGACGACGGTGGCAGTCTAATGCCAATCGCGACTCACTGATAACCGGAATCTTTCTCGAAATGACGGGGTCGGCGGAAAATTTCCGCGCGAGGAAAAATGTTCGCGCACGGTCGCGTACAAAGCAGAGTCGAAATCTTACACCGTGTGTTATTATCTTAATTCTTGTTTAAATACAAACAGTAAAAGCTAAGACAAAATAGGTCTAATATTAAAATTAATTCTAATGATATAATTTATCTCCTACACCGTGAAAATAGGATTTGGTAATAAATGTGAAAATCTGGTGAGTATTGGTCAACCAAATATTTGATTAATCCGATCGAAGACTTTAGTTCTTTATATCATTTGGCAAATAATAAATATTTACCAAATTTTAGTACTTATTACCACATCTCTTTTTCAGTGAATTTTGATGAACTCTCTCCTTGATGAAATTTCTGTTTTCGCTGTTTTAGCGACGGAATAGATTGTTCAAAGGTGGCATTAAAATTACTGAATTCTATAGAATATATTCCTTTTCAATAAATTTATGAATTTAATTGAAATTTAAATTAAAATTTATTCTATAGAATTAAATATAATAAAAGAAAGAAATTAAATATGTGTCAGTATTATCGAAATAGGTTTTTATCAAAAGAACTTGCTTTGATATAATAAATATCTTTTTTTTCCTTTCTCTTGTACGCGATTCGATCTACATAGCGAAACTAAAATTATACAGTTTCCTCCGTCCCTAAATTTAATCCCGTTAATTGAAAGAGTAAATAAATAAATATATAAATTAGTCTGTCTAAACAGACGAAAAGTAAAAACGTCAAAGCAACATATTTTCCGCGACTGTAACGAGACGGTTTCGATCGATCGAACGAGACAATCGACGCGATATTAACTAAAGTGCGCCGTCTCCATATGGCAACGACAGTTCACCAGAGGAAAGCGGAGCGGAGGAATCTCATATAAATCATCGTTCCGCGGCGATAGACATTTCGCCGGTATTTTCCTCAAACTTTTCATTGATCCGGTATCAAAGGCGGATTCATCCCCGCGATAAGAAGTGCCGTGAAAGTCAGTCTGTCTCCCCCGCAAATCGTATTTCCCGGAAAGCGGTGTGAGTCGTGAATCACCGATAACCGCGCGTGTCGATCTGCCTGTCCCCGCTTCTTCCCCTTCTTTCGCCTTTCGCGCAAAAAGAAACCTCTCTATCTATCGATCAGTAATTGTAGGTTTTCGCCTTGGTGCGCCTGCAGATTGGAAGCTCCCCTGGCTTCGTGCTTTACCGCGACCGCGCCGAATCGGCGGATTACCGCTAAGCCGCTTAAATAAGAGTTCGATTGTGTCGACGATTTAATGCGCATTAGCATTTTAACCCGGCCTTTCAATCCGCGCCGAAAGTTGCCACAATGGTCGTCGGCGCGAATTCGACTATTACTAGTCTTAATTGCTTAACTTTATCCGAACGGCGCGCGCCCGATGTTTTTCCGCCGTTGATGCGCCGACTTCGGCTTTAAACAGGGTCGGGCTCCTGAGGATGGGGAAAAAAGAGAGACGCCCGTGTTTTTTATCGAATGGCTATTATTTAAGCGAGTTTTTCGTTATTTATTAGCGTTTCGCGGTACCCGCCGTTAACCGCCGTCGGAACAACAGCTCGAAATTCGTTCGCGAACGCCGGTATTTTTCACCGATGTTTACGCTGTTAACATGCGATAACGTGCAGCCGTACCGAAATATTATCCCGGACGATTCTATCCGGTCTGTTTTACCAGTAAAATAAATCGCGCGGACCCAGAAAGAGATACGCCCGTGGATTCGCAGTCCACCGAATTTTCCCGTTCGGTGCAGTTGGATTGTAAATCCACGCAGGATAAGAAAGTGATACTAACGCGCTGTGAATTTTGACAGACATACCGACGCCCACGACGGAGCCGACGACGACGAGCACGATGCCGATTCCTACCACCGTGGATCTAGGTGAACGTTCAATCATCCGATCGGTCCTTTCATTACTCGCTATATTCCGCTGTTTTATTTATAAACATCTGCCTGTGCGCGACTACGCAAATAGCTAACAAACAAAATGTTATTTTCAGTGGAGAGCGTCCAATGGTCGCGACAAAAGCCCGTGCCCAGTCTAGAACCGAGCTCTAATGAAATAACCGACGCATCTTTGTCGACTGTCGTCAGAAGCGAAGGTACGCGCGCTTTCCATTATGTTCCTTCGGGCTCTCTTTTACGCCGACTTAGATCTTCGCATTGAACAAGATTCGTTGGAAACGTAGACAGGCGCTTTAAACGTACGCGCCGCGGGTAGTTTAACTTCACTTTTGTCAATTGTATCGAGATCGCTGAATAAAAAAAGAAAGAAAGAGAGAGATAATATCCGGTGCGCGCGTTTCCGCAATATATTAAATTATATTTCTCTGTACGTAATCAAATATTACACGTTATCAAGGGCGTTTTCACGCGATTATGCCCGATTTGCACGGATATTTGCAGGATAATCGGGAGAACTTTCTTGTTTACATGAAATATAGAAGAAAGAGAGAAATAACACGGGCGAACAGAAGCTGAAAAGCTGATATTTTTGCGAACAATATTTAAAGCGATAATAATTGGAAAATGTTTACAATTGTTATGATCTCGCGAGCGAAAATACGAAGGACACCGCGGAATATCGTTCGCACCGCGCGATACAAACACCGGTACGGTGGGATCGATAAAATAATGAGTGGGTTTCATTAACGGGTTTAATTATCAATTTCGTTTCACCCTATGCATTCGGGTTAAGTACATGCATAAAGTTCACCCACCCTTTGGTCATTTTAACACGGGCGGGAACATTATAAGTGGTAATTTCGGCGTTGCCGAAATTACCATCGCCGCTGTGGTTACGATTACGCGCGTTTCGCGACAGTCGTGGTGTGTTGTCGAAACAAGTTTGAATATTCAAAGCCTCTCGCCGGCCCTCGTGCAAATCCGACGGAACTTTCGAAGGGGGGTCAAAAATCGGATTAGCCCGCTGCTCGACGAAAGTGAGATTTGGCAACTGCACCGGGGCTGCCTTCGAGAGATCCGTTCCTTTAAAGTCTTCCCCTCTCTCTTTCTTCGGTCGCACGTGTGTGTATCGACTCGCGAGTCTCATTCCGTAATTCAAGCGAGAAGCTATCGACGCGATCCTCCGGCGCAGGAAAAGGTGGAGGAACGCGGAAAACATGTCACGGTCTACAAATACGCAGCGCCGAAATTCAGCGGGATACGTCGCCTTAAATCATCGCCTTCGACGTAATGCGAGAACTTACACGCCGCTGGGCAGTGGCGGAACTTTCCTACGCGAAAGTTTCGCGGAAGGCGCGAAGTTTATTCCGCAAAACTTCCAGCAACGTGCCACCGGTACCCCGCGCGCGGCTTCTTCCTTCTGCCGTTCTCCGGCCCGACAAACGCGGAACTCTCGACGGGATTTTGATGAAATCCCACGCGGTTTATGAACTACCGAGCGCGCGCCAGCCCACCAACTATGGCAAGTAATCTGCAGCCGCGCGTCGCGCCAGAACGCCTGCGTCCCCGAACTTGTTTCGATTATTATGTAAACCGCGCGCCGAGTATAAGTGAAGTCACGGTATAACGCGGGAGCTAGTGAATTGAATGGGATCTGGTTGCGATCTTCCGAGCGGGCGAACAATGAGAGAGAGAGAATAGATGAAACGGAGAAAATGAAGATGGCGTGAAAATGATCGAAAACTTTTATAGTCATTTTCTCGGTATTATTTCTCTCCGTGTAAAAACAATGAGAGTTACTGAACGTAAAAATAAAGGGATGATACGTTCCAAGCGCTACATCGTGAGCTGAATGGCGGGGGAAAAAAAAGAAGAGACAAATTAATAATTTTCAAGTAAATTGTAATAACAATGAATGAACTCCGCTCGATATATTTTAATATGATAATAAACGATACGCCCGTCATATTAAGTGGCAGTTAAAATGACAGAAGAAAGAGATTGAGAGAGAACGAACGGTTGCCGTGGCGAAGGGTAACACGAAAGGGCACTACCGTCGTCGTCTTGCATAAGCAATGTTCCCGGCGAAAGAATAAATAACACAGGACGGAAAGATCCGTGCCGTTTCGTGTCGTCCAAAGTAGAAAAACAATGGAGCGCAACGCGGCTTCGCTCTCGCGTCTTCGAGTTTTCGCGATCGGACGGTCCTCTCCGATATCGCGAGTAGCTGAGAATCATATCGATAGAAGAGGAAAAAAGTGGAAACTTAAAGCATATGTATCATCCGCTTGGCGATTTTCAGAAACGCGGCTTCGCGGCAGGCCGAGCCACGAGGAGCCGAGTCACGAGGCCGAGAACGTCATCGACAGCGTCGACAAGCACAAGAGCGTCGACGGCAACATCGGGCCGCGCAGGATCGACAATACGCCGCAGTCGATGTCCTCGAAGAGCAGCACGTGGCACTGCGTGACCCGGTCCAGCGCGGTGATCTGCATAATAGTGCTTTCCGCCCTGTCGTAGTCGTCGCGGCGCGGGGACGATCGCTCGAGGTCCATATCCCGCTCCACAGGATAAACCTCTCCTCTCTCTCATCCGTGCAAGGGATCAATTAATCGACGGGTTAAGCGAGCAGACTCACCGGAGGGATCCGCCGCAGCATATTTACGACGCCGAATGTCTTTACGAAGAAGAAAAAAACTATTACTATTGTTATTAATGTAGCCGAACCCACGCCCTCGTCGGATTACTGAGATTCCACTGAGAAATTCGCCCGGATTCCGTTTGCGGCGAGTCGTCGTCGGTCGCGTTCCCGTTTCACGCACGGCTTCTCGAGGAACAGACCGATGGAAAATTATCGTTATTTTCGCCGCAAAATAGTAGCGGAAATTAAATACTATAGTAACATTTACTATAGTAACAGTGATAATAATCTTACATCCGTATTGCTGCTGCTATTTTTGTAGCGTATTTATATTTGGCGCCGAAAATAACTATAATTTTTTATTCTTCTGCACTATATAAAGGTGGATACACACTGAGCGAACGAGATCGCGTCGCACGAGAATGCATTCGCGTCGAAGAAAAAAAAGAAAAGGAAAGAACGAAAAACGAGAAGCCGAGGAAAAAGGAACGAGATCGCTCCTGCTTCGTTCCGACGGGAACGCATTCTCATTTCCAATAAATTGTTGCGTAATAGCTGTCGACGTATGATTTCAAGCCGAATCTCTCCGTGTCGTGTTCGATGTTTATCGATACCGTTGCATGCCACGAGTGTACACAGCGGAAATAAATAATATATTTCGCACGATAATGCACGCGATATTCGCCGCAGCAATAGCAATTAACGGCTCGCACGTGAGCCGAGCGTTCGTTCGCTTTTTTCACGCGATCGGAAATATATCCGCCGCTTTTCGTGATCAGAGCGATCGATAATCGTTCAGAGTCGCCGTCGTCGACTTGTCAATGGGGTGTCTCAGCCGAGTCTTCGCCAACGGAATGGTTTCCAGCGAATGATCCGGCGTGACGACGATTTTTCTTATCTGATTCCACCGTCATCGCCAAATTCCACCTTCCAATCTCTCTTTCTCTCTCTCCTGTCCGGAGGAGGAAAAAGGGAGCGGGCCTTCAAATCGCGTTCATCGTTAGCGAAACGAGATCTCCCAATTTCCTCAAAAGAACTCGACTCGGATTTTCCCTTTCATGTCCGGACGGGGCTTATACCGGAGGGGCTTTCCCCCGAACATCCGTGTCCGGCTCGCAATTATATATCGCCGGGAGGATCGACGCTGCTGATCGGCCCGTCTGCATACTCACTTTTCCCACTTTCGCGTTCCGCTTGTTTGCGCCTCGATACGATTCTCAGTGCGGAGGGTTAATCGATCTAGCAAGCTAAGTGTATAAATTAGTACGTAAGCGTAGGAGTTAAGAGCGTGTGTAACGTGCGAGAGAGAACAAGTCGCGGACGGTGCATGAGATGCAACGAAACAGCTGGTACTTGTACATTTCCAGGATTAATCACTTGCATATACTTGTAAATAACGTTACGGATCGTACGGACTATTTCCCGCGGAATATTGTGTCGCTGTACTAATTGTGTCGATAAGAACAGTTTTGTACATATACCGAGCCTCCTCGAGCGCGCGCATAGAATAAGAGTGTGAGTAGTCGTTTCGACGTTTTTATATATATGTGGATGTCTCAGCAAGTGAAATTATCGTATTCCCCCTCCCCCTTTCCTTCCCCGATGTGTATGTCCGGAGAAAAGGAATCCCCGCGGCGAGAATCCAACGAGAAATGAACATCGAATCGATTCGACGAGTCATTTCTCGCCCGGAGAGTGTCCGTCTTCTCTCCCGCGAAATTTCCGCGAACGCCGTCTTGCTTTTTTCACGATTCGAAACGTTCCCGGTGTTCCTCCGGACGCGGCTACGATATCGTCAGTTTTGAAACTACTTTCCGATCGGGAAGACACATCAGTGTCGGCACACACTCGTGTAAGGTGGCGGCATTTATGTACAAAAAGTCTCGCGTTAAACGCGACCCGAGATCGGTATTTTGTATTCACGCGCCGAAAGTATCCGAGATATTTTTGCGAGGTATTACGATTTGAAACCCGCTGCAAATGCGCGCCCTTTCCACCGCGCATGGTGGGTGTTTCGCGCGAGAAAACGGCGCGACGCTCGAAACAAACACGCACGAGATCCGCGCGCGTCTTCGAATCTGCACCGACGTGAGGAGATCCGACCCACGTCCGCTCAATGATACAATCGAATTCTGCCCGGTTAATTTAAGCGTCCAACACATACACACGCGCGCGCACACACTACACTACATCAATCGAGTACGACGCGACACCTCGATACGACCAGTGTGTGTATTCTATGTCTCAACTCAGGAGCTCTCCCTGGAGTCCACGTGTAAATATTAATCGACCGGACTATACGATCGTGTGTTGTAAAGTGTGGATGGAATGTCCCTGTAAATAATCACGGCCGGCTTTGTATCATGTCGTAGGACGGTACACGATCCATTACGAAGCGTACGCGTGTGTGTGTTACTTTTTATGTAGAGATAAAATCTGGTTAAATATATATGTACATATATTTGTTACGACACGTTATATATAAATTATCGTATCCGCGGTTATTTCAAGAGTTTTTCACAGTTCCCCCCACAGTTCGTTGGACTCTCGAGAGACGTACGCGATTCTTCCGCATTCTGAGTCCTCGAGCTTGAAGGCATACGAAGCATCGGCGCAAAAGCTTGACGAGTCACGACGTACGATGCACCGTCACTCGAGGCGCCCTGAGAAAATCGGTCATTCTTATCGCGAACGTCCACGTTCACCGTCGTGCGTACCACTCAAGCCCAAATTTCCGTTAGTCATACTTACCGGTAGCGCCCGTCGATGCGAGAGAAATCGATTTCAGTGAGCTTACTACCGCTTCCTAGAGGCATAATATTCGCAGAACGACTTTAAAACGAGATTTCATAGACGGGGAGATCCCCGAGGGAGATATTGTAAAAGAGAATTATGTTTCCAGTGCCGTAGTGTCAGTAGCGACGAAACATGTTGTAAACTGAATGGACGAGTGCAAAAATGGAATGAATAAATATCGAATGTTTAACCCACTTTGTATGAACCCTCTTCCGCGCGTCTCGCTGCACGGAGGACAACTTTTTCGCTGGCATTGACATAAGAATAATAATTAAATAATAATAATAATAATAATAATTCTTGTATCGATAACTGGCACAGCAAATTGTTGGTTATTGTAATGATAGTAAAAAGATTAGTTGAGAATATTAATTGCTAATTGCGCCAACTAAATTTTATTGCCGTCGCAACGACGTTTTTTCACACAACGGTAAAATTATTTTTTTCGTGTAACAAATCTCTTCGCTGTCACTATAGCAACCAGCAATTTGCTGTGCCAGCAATAAATGTTCCTCCGTGTGGTTTAAAAATCCCCCCTCCCCTCCAACGGAGTGACGTTTCCGGCGCAATTGAGCAATTAATCGAGCGCATAAACGCGTCGATCTTATTTATTTACAGCATACGCACGGAGGAAACGGCCGCAGAAATTCGCGCGCTGTGATTAATGATTTCGCATATTCATGCCGCGCGGAATTCATTTCAACGTCGCTCCCCGCTGCGGTAACTTTGAAATATTCCGAATCAGCGAGGGATTGGCAGTTACCTATTTGCAGCCGCGATTCAGTCGGATAATGCGGAGCGCCCCGCCCGAGCGGCTGACCGGTTCTTTGATGTATGCGCGCAAACAGCATCCGCGTATTGTATCTCTCCTCGGGATAGATGAAATACGAGGCGGGTCTTTATGTATCTATTGAAAGCTGCATGTGAGTGCCCCATTCTTCTATGTAAGCCCGGCGATATATCCCGCCGATATGTGCGCGTCGCGGCTGACCTGGCAGCACAGACGGCGGCGTTTCATTCGATTTACATTCAGGACAGTTGTCAAAAGTAGAGGAGCGCGCCAATTGCGTTCCACGTATTATATATGTCAGCGGGCTCTTTATCTCGACCGCTTTGTTACGCTTTGCGAAGGAGCATGGATCATCACTGCGAAAATGGAGCGAATCACCTTGCTTGCTAATGCTCTAGGGAGAGATATTACCGATTACGACGGAGCTGCGACTACAGGATAGCTGGAGCGAAGTGAAAGCATTTATTGTCGGCGATTTTCCTGCTCTTCGGGAAAGACGTTCGCGAGCGAGCGGTAAGCTCGAAATCGCAAATTCGGACGCGCTCAGAGATAGAATTAACTGTGGGGGTTAAAATGTACTAGTGGAGGATGTGCCGGCCGCAACTCAAACTGAGGAGAACATTATTTAATAATTTACAAATTGATCTACGCATAAAAAAATGAAGAAATAATATTTTCGTATTGTGCACGCATGTCTACCTCAATTTCGCTTCAAATTAACATCCATTATTTAGGTAGTGAAATAAATATATGAGAACACGTAATTTTACTTGATAAATACTAAATTTATGAGTGGCCCCCTTGATGCGCCACCGAGAATACGGCACTAACGGGTTATACATCTTTAATATAGGGATAGCTAATGTCGTTGCTATCACAGCTAATGAATTTATAAGCAGCGGTAACAGCAACAGGAGCTATTAGAGGTAAGTTGCATTTACCGCAAGGTACAGCTATGTTGTTCGCTGTAACGCCTTAATTCGAAACAGCTAATAAATTCAGCTGCGATAACAACGGGCTGTCCCTATTTCAGCTCGTATATTCTTTCACTCGGTGCGTTTCTCTCGAAGCACGAGAAACTCGAGCGCCTATCGGGAGCTGAAAATGTACTGTGGACGAAATTAAGTAGTAAATTTGTATTTCATGTATACACGAATATCTTTCTCCGACGTCGATAGTGCTTACAGGACTAGATCGCGTGCGAGAAGCACGGGCAGTGGCGCAACCAGATCGACTCCGATGACATGGTCGCAAGATAAATTGCGGTGTCGCGCGCTATATACGTAATTAAACATCGTCATTAATCTACGCTTATTTATTGTTTAACGACTATTCGCCGATCCGTGTCAGCGTTATCGCGGAGACATTGATAATTTACAGCCACGTTGTCGAGCCTCCGCTTAAATACGGCGGGGAATGCGCGCCTCTCGCCGTCACCGACACTCATCCCGAGATTCCCCTCGATGGATCGAATTGCCGATGGCGGCCCTCGTGTTTACCTCGTAGCAAAATTTTACGAAACGTCGCGAGATGCGAGTACTTCCCTTATTTTTATTACATTATGCGAGAGACACGTATAGTTACGCCACCAATCAGCACAGACAATGCATCCTACCTGTACACTACGTACGATATTGTTTCTTTCATATTTATATTCTTCGCATAGAACTATCGTGGTATGTATAGGTATATATTTACGCGCCACGCATGGCGCGGCCGCATGCTTAATTAATCGCCGCCGCTGCGACACGCTCCCCTCTTTCTTTTCTACACCCCCCTCCCCCCCTTTACGACTCGCGATTATTCACCTTTATTACAAACTCCGGCCTTCGTCACGGCCTCGCCGACGACATATTACACGCGTTACACGATACGTCTAAATGTGTTTCGGTATGTTATCTACAATGCCGATGATACAAAAGTAGGTTGCTCTGGGTTATCTTCAATATTGTTTAATTGTCACGGTCGCTATTAGTTTACTCGTAAACAATTCGCGATCGTAAACACCGTATACTGGGTGTAGGTAGCGTGAAATCGATGATGTGTGGAGACGCTACGATATATAACGATATTTTATACGACAAGTAGAGCGTGAAAGTTCGCAAGGACTCGCGGCTTACTCACGCGAGCGACCACGAGACGCGTCCGAGAGAGATCGAGACTCGCTCTCTCCTTCTCTCTCTCTCTCTCGCGTTCGTTTTGCTCATTGCTCGACACAGACGAGAGATTCATCTCGTTCTATTATTGCTCGAGCCATCTAGCCAGCCGATCTTATCAACCCCATCTTATACAGTTGACAATCCAGTTGGCTTTAAAGCGCCTCGAGTCGCTCTGCCGAGGAGCCCGGTGAAACCTCGCGAACTTCCGCACCCTAAATGGTGACCAGTCGAGGCGTCAAACGTCCTTAATTACAATGCGGAGCGATTGAACCGGTGGTTAATATTGCTGCGGCGCTAAATTAAATTTCGTCGGTGATAGCCGGCGTTTTTGATACTTCGTTATTCCGCGTATTCCGACTTCCGAGAGCGCGAATACGCTTTGATACTGAAATGCTCTTGAATGATACATCCTTCGCTAAAAATGAATTTTTAATTGACGCGTTATCGAAGATATGTCTTACATCCGAATGACTCTTGCAATCGTCCTTTAGTGCCGAAAGAACACAAACGGGGCTGATATGTCTTCCACGTGTGCGAAGGTGTCTCACGTACGCTCGAAATAGATCATACACGTGCGGTACGATAGAAAGGAACGAATCGTCGGGTCGATAATTGATCGATTTCTTCCAGCCTCGCGACAAACCGCGATTCTCTCTCTCTCGCGCGCGCTTTTACCGGCAAATTTATTTCCGGGAACACTTCTTTTGCGGTTTTTAATATTCGAATATTTTCTCCGACAATAAGAGAGAGAGAGAGAGAGAGAGAGGGCCCGCTTTTCCTCGCTTCTCCTACACCTATTACGCTTCAGTTTTGACCCATTTCGAAACTGAGCCGCTTTCATATATCGGGTATTCAATAATAAGCTCTCTATTTGCATACGTATACATAGGTATACAGATCATTGAACGAAAACACAAAACGCCATACGCAAACGCCCCGCCGTCGTAGTTTGCGTATTGTATTACGACTCAGATTGTACAATATGCCCCAGTTTGTAGAATGCGCGCTCTGACAGCTTAACAGAAGTTCCACAAATATTTGCATCAATTATAATTTGTCGTACGACAACGTTAATAATAAACGTTACGGAAATTACGGTTAATTGTTAATTGCAACGCATTAGCGGAGAATACATTAGCTGGGAGAAAGGTGGGAGGAGGAGGGGAGGGGAGATGGACGAAGGGAGTAAACTTAGTAAATAATTCATATCGCCGATCGCGTTGAATTGTCCGCCACTCGTCGATTCTGCAAATATTCTCGCAAGCTCGGCCCATTTTGTTTCGCGAAAAGAAAGAAAAGCACGTGCGCCGGAAACCAGCACTCTAGTGCTCGGAATCAATTGCACTTTCGGGACGAGTTTTTCGGACATCGCGCCTATTGTCTCGCCTCTCGCCGTTCGAGTGAACGAGTTTCGCTTTTTAAATTTTTGCTTCTCTTTTCTTTTTCCACTTTTCACGCGTGAATACGCATACTTACGCGTGGCTGATACGTGCGTGAATCGAAGGTGCAACACTTTCGAGACCTGCTATCTATGTTAGTATGTACAATAGAGCGATAATAAAGCGAGAGATCTGTTCATCACGCGGTACATCGACCACTGCTCGGAAACGGGTGTGATTTAAAAGGACGCCGGGGAGCTTCCTCAGTCTTGACTTAACGTTACCATACGTAGCCTAAGTATAATTGTACTTATCATACATACTATATACAGACATATCGATATATTCTGATTTTTCGTTTTTAAAATACCCAGTCGCAGAAATATGCGTTCGAACATTTTCCTACGGGAGTTGCCGAGCTCAAAATTAATATTACACGAAGAATGTATACAACTTCTGTTTTTCAAATCTTGAAATAAAATCTTAGAAATATAAGAGAATACGTAAAATATGCGAATTAATCCTTCAACATAATCCATCAGTGCGGCTATTACTTAGACGAGATTTTATGCAAAAATAGGATAACTTGTCGATTTGATGTTTCTGCCTTCCGTGCAGAGATCCGGGGAGAAATCTGTCACGTCGTCTTCGCGCGCACCTCTGCCTACATATATAGTACATACACCAGTATTATGCTAATACTATACATAGTGTACTATACAGAGAGTTATTGTTAGAATAGATTTCCGGCTAACGCGAACATCCTTCCCCGTACAAATTCTAATGAACGCGATCCGTCCGCCGAGGTTTTTTCTTTCTGGTGCGAAACTTGAAGCGATCGCTATCGATATAATATGATCCGTCTCGGGTATATTCTATTAGAGATTAATGCTACCTACTCCTATGCACACGGTAATCACCTCCTCGAGTCAACAGTCAGATTCACGAGCGCTTGGCAAACGACGCCGACCGATGTCACCGCGTCGATGCAGCCTCAAAGGATATCGAAACTCATTAGAGAAGACGGCTGCTGGTTCGCCTGTCACGATCGGGGGGATAAACCGCGTCTGTTATTGCCGATAAACGTCGTTATGAAAACGCGTATCAACAACGAGTTATGTGCCGCTCAATCTGGAAAATAAGACGTTTCTCGGATTTATGCGAGATATAAGGAGAAACCATCTCTTTCTCCTTTTCTCCGCGAGCCAACGGAAAAAAATATTAATTTTCCTTGTCGCGGGGAAAGGCACAATGAAAATTGAACTTATATTTCAAATCGAGAGACTGATTTAATTAGTTGTGAATAAAATAAAATCGAGCCTATCAAGCACCACTCCATTTTCTCCTTTCGTGTCGTACGCGAATTTTTTAACAATGTTCTGGTATTACTCTCCGAATTTGTCGGGAAAGATCAACAGCGCGAGCAAACCTGCGGCACTGTGACTAGTCTCTCTCTCTTTCTCTCTCTCTTTCTTTCTTTCTTTCTCTCTCACCCTCTCTCAAGTGGTTCATCCTTCGCTTGAGTTGGACAGCTCCGTTCTGGCCTAGAGTCCTCTAATAAGCGCCTAGACAGTAACTGCTTTCCCCTGCAATTGGTGCAGCCCCTTCGATGCATCGCTCGGCCGTTGTTTCGCAATAGTGATCTAAAGCACGGATACATCAGCTGTCCGGGTGGCCAATTAAAAATGACGCGAGACGGCGGAAACTGCTCGTTCCTCGTTGGCCTGCCTTCTCATAGAAAACCGTTCTCTTCGCGATAAGACTTCTTGTTTATTGCTCGTTGTCGATCGTTATCGAGCTGGATGGGACGCGCGCATTTGTCGATCGCCACGCGATACCCCCTTCCTCTCACACACACACACATACACACACGTTTGCTGTTTCATGGAGAATTGATTAGATGAGCGGTTTATTATGAATAGAGGACATCGTTCATGGATCTAAATAGACAGAACCAACAATAACGAATGGGAATAAGCTGCTCTTTTAATAAATAAAATGATAGAGAGAGAGAGAGAGAACTTAGAGATAGAGCTAATTTAATTTGCGTATTCTTCACTTTCCGAGAGAGATAACCCCGACATTTCTTCTTCCCCTCGTTCGGTTCTCGCGTAGACGTTCCAAGTTTACGGATATTTCAGTTATCTCCGTGACGCTGCTGACGCAACCCTTAAAATAAATCAGAGCAGTCGTTCCCCGACGTTATAACACGATTCCGGCCACCCGTGGGGTAGATCCGCGCGTAACCCCGGCTGCCGCACACTCGCCGTCCGAAATGACCGTGCCTTCGAGTCGTAATCCCGCCTTAGCGAACTCCGACGGCGACGACGACAAGGACGGCGACCCTGGCCGCGGTCGGTTCGCTCCTAATCGCTAATGCTACTTATACAGTATTATTATCTTATCGTACAGTTTAAGTGGTCAGCACGGTAGTCCTCGACGATATTCATCCTCGACTGAAGTCCCTGAGCGATGGATTTACAAGTGGATGTACAAAGTCTCGATGGTTCGATGGTCGAAGTACGCGCGCGCGCGGCACCGGCTCGTGGACAGATCTCAGGCCGGGTGCAGCGTTCGCATCTGCGGATGGTGATGGAGGCACAGGCACAGCGCGACGAGGATCACCAAGAGCAACGAGCTGCCGTTGCTGTTGGCGCTGGACTCGTCGTAATCCGTCACGTCGCCGCCGTGCTCTTTACGGCCGCGCAGTTCCAGGTCTGCGGGAGAGCAGATTTCGAGACCGTTAACCCTCGTTCGGCACTCGCAGGTCAAATTGACCCAAGTCGACAAATTAAGATCCTACACTTGTCACGCCTTGAATTGTGTTGCGCATGCAAACATAGAGATCTCTTCTTAGCTCATGCATTTGCTCGCTAAATAGTACATTTATGGGAAGTTCTGCGCCACTTTCTTAACAACGTGAATGTGTTAATTTAATTTAACGTATATTTGCGTACGTTTTGACCTGTTGTTCGCGTTAAAATAACACAACAATTTCAGTGGGTCGTTTTTAACACAGTAAACATTTTTACTATATGTCTTCCCTTGTATCTCTTGAAAGTCGTATCTATTTTAAAAATCTTTATCGCGACAAATTCTTCACGTTTACCTTTCGTATACTAAAATTACAAAATCTATATACTGGGTAAGCATATTTATAGATATTTAAGTAAGAGAATACTGGAAAAGTTTCCGGGTCTCACAGATTCAGTGTCCCAAAGTAAGTGGCAAAAATTAAATGTGCCAATCAAGGATTAAGCTCGAGTGACGGGGAAGGGAGGTGGTTGCGTTAGCTCCAGTGTCGAACGAAACAAGTGATTGAGATTCTCAAGGGAAGAAAAAAAGGAAACGAGCGTGCGATATCGAATTAGCGTGCTGAAGAATTAAGATCTTATGTGGGAAAACCCTAGGAAATTTGTCAGATACAGCGGGTTAAGAAGAAAATCGTATGTGCGAAATGAAACTCGGGCGTTTAATTTGTACCTTGTTCCTTCAGCATGTCTCGATTTCCCTCCAGGATATCGTTCCCTGAATTATGCCTTAGTTTGCCTGCAAACAGAGCGATATTGAACGCCGTGTGCCTCTCGCAACGGAGTTGGGATACTTTAATATTGTCGATATTGTCCGAATAAACATTCTCACGAAAGAATATCTGATATTCGATAAGGATATAAAATTCCGCTCGCGCATCCTCATTCGACGCCAGCGACCTTTTGAACCGGCATTGTTAATCTACGCTACCTAGCGATCTTACACATCGATCGAAAATCGTTGCGCTTCTCCCCTTTTTCGTTATGTAAACGCGCGGGTCCAACCGGTCATCTTCTCGGGATTTGCGAGTGAATAATTGTTCGGCTCTTATTATTTCAATTGCTTCCTCATTCCGCCTTCTTTGATTAATTGCCCGCTGAAAGTAATTTGTTTCGCGACGTGGTATTCGGTTTCGGCTGGTACGTCGCGAGGCTACTAATGACGACGATTGTTAAATCAATTGTCCGGAAAGTAGCGACGACGGTAGACGCGAAGAGAGAGAGAGAGAGAGAGAGAGAGAACGATTTGCAAGACGGCGGAGAGGTCGCGTCGCCGAATAAATACATATCGGTTTAGCGGCTCGAATGTCTGCGGCAACACTTTTACAATACAACGACGCTCGCTCCCTCTCTTTCTCTTGCGACGTGTTTCGATGCAGCGAGAAAATAATTATTTGCGCGAAACAATCGACACAGTTCTGAAATACTTCGCGTCGCAAGTTTGCACGGCAATCGGAGCGCGACTCGCGAGACGCCGCGAGGGTTATAAATAAAAATTGCGCCCCAGTTTACTTGGCAAAAATACTTGGCGAATTTTTTGCCGTTTGCGCAAAGCTGCGGCAAGTTTAGTCTTAAGCACCGATAAAAAGGGGGAACGGACGAGGAGCAGTAGGGAACGGGTGGATGTTCTCTGTCGCTATTGGAAAAGCGATCTAGCGTTTTGCCCGCGGTGAGAGCCGCGCGAGAGTTCGTTTGTCTCCGTGAAAAATGCAGCCTGCTCCGTGTGTTTTCCCAAGTAATGAGGAGAACGAATGAGAGAGAGAGAGAGAGAGAGAGAGAACAGGAACGTACTCGATAACGGGGAAGGCATAAGCCCGGAGCAGATTGCGAAGGGACTTAAGGTATGACCAATGTGTTTGCCCTCACGTTGTTAAGTTTCCGCGCGCGAAATTCCGCCGCGCTTTTGCATATACCGGAGAATTGACCCCGCGCTTTATCCGGGGCGTAGTTTGACTGGGAGAAAATGAGGCGCACGGATCGAAGTAACCTTACTCGGAAACGAGCAACGACGACGAGCGTCGCTCGAATTCGCTTCGTCTTCGACGGTATGTCAAGCAAACAAAAATATCTAACGGACCGGCCTTTTTTTCATTTCCCACCTGGCCGCTCGGGGGAAATCGTATTTCCCGTGCCGCGTGTTTCGCACGTTTAATTCCGAGGTTCCTGATTTCTACGCATATACCCGCCAGACCGCGTATGCACACCGTCGCGTGTGGCGGGGTGGAAAGAGAGTCGATAAAATTGACCCAGGACGTCGAAACCGTTCTCTATAAATCTCCCATCGCGATGCAACGTCGCCTTCCAATCTGTTGGCATCCAAATATTTTGCATATATCGATTTCCGGGCGCCGGGCGAACGGGAAGTTGAACTGAAGGCGGGTCAATAATAAATCCCGGATTTTTCATTACGATGGCGCGGAAGATACTTGGTGAAATATGAAAGTAAGCCGCGTTCATGAGCGGCTCGCGTTGACGTCGCGCCGATTATTTATCGCCGCCGCCGCGGTAGCTTTTCGCGCCGCTAATTGTGATGACTCCTACCTATCCGAGTCGAAATTTTGCGGCCCTATGTTAAACCCTTCATTCGACAAGAATGAACGATAGCACCAAAAATAGGTTAAATTCTAATAATACGATTTACTTTGGCCCCCTGATGATCGGATATTTCCGTTTTCGCCGTTTTTAACGTCAAAATTTTACGTATCGAGTCGATACTCAACATGTATAAGTGATAAGATTATGTAACACATTTTAAACTTCAGTGTCGATTAACGTTTTAAGTTTGTGTGAATTTTTGGCACAATATTACTTCTCAACATATCTCTCACATACTGATCTCGTATTAAAAACGCAAAAATATGTTTGACGGACCGTTTGTGGAAACATGTGGAATGTGTTGAATTGAACAGAAAATGTCTTGCTGTGCAACATCAAAATTTTAACCCGGATATATATATATATATATATATACGTTCCCGCACAATCTCTCGCACGTTCCTTTTGAAAAATCGCGTGCCGACTCACCGGGTTGGATCGGCATGCATTCTTTCGCGGCGACTCGCGCGCAGATAACACGCTGCGCCACCACGGGAGGTGATTTACGAAAGGCGCGCGCGCCCGCTAACTGCGCGTCCGAAATTAATTCGTGTTTATATCGCACTTATATACGCCGTTATCTCGCGGACCGCAGTACGGCGATTGCATAAAGACTCGCGACGAGAGCGCGCGCGCTCATGCGGGAAGAGTAGTCCGCGTGGCCGTAAAAACATCGATTAGCCATAAAACGTAGGCGGGGCGAGATGTTTAAAGTTTTCCCGTTGCGAAATGAACCATTAAAGTAGCGAAGACTCGAGCGTCTTCGAGCTATATCACGGGGAAGGTCGGGAGTGTCTTAAAGCACGTGCTTCAAAGGATGAATTTTATATCGGCGTTCTTCATCCCGGCGACGCAGTGCACGTACCACACACGTACAAGCGCGCACGCTTGTATTGCGTTACGCAGGCTGTTGTCATTCGCTGAATATTTTTTCGCGTTTTTCCATTTTTCCATTTTCCCAGCGTAATCGCAAGTCTATGCAATTCGCGTCTGGAAAATCCTCAAAACGCGAACGACGAGGACGACGACGCGCGAAATGCGGGCGCGACGACGAGCTTACTGTCCTTTTACGCGGATGTTCAACGACGGATACATTTTGCGGAGAAAAGAAAGGAAAGGGAGAAAGGAATAACCCAACGTAGATAACAAAATACTTTACGTGCGCTTAGTTAATACCCGGGCAAAGCACGGCGAAATACGGTGCGCGGTGCAGGAGGCGAGCGCGCGCGCGCCGCGCACTGACATGTAATTTACCATCTCCTTTGAGGGTCCGATGTATTGTTCCACAAAGCTCTTCCCGTATTATTATCTCTTTGAATACATCAGCGTACTCGAAATACCGTGCCGAGAGAAGAGGACGCGGTGAAACCGAATTGGTACTCTAAACGTCCACCCGCCATGCATTTTGTCCCCTCAATCTTCGTTTGCATATTAAAGACAAATCCGATAATACCGCGCGGTACGAAGAAATAACGACCCAGCCGAATACCTTACCGCTAATTTTCTCTCTCTCTGCCTCTCTCGTGTGTGCGTACCTTATTTCACGCGCTATTATCTCTCGCGCGGCGAGCTATTTTATTCGCTCAAATATATTATCCGCGACCCGTCATAATCACGGCGGCGCAGCCGTGCTGATTTTTTCCCGATCTTTCCAAAGTGGATATTCCTCTTCTCCTTTCCGTGCGACTTATCTCGGCGGGGATATCGCGCGGCGTTATCCACGGTAAAGTATGTTACGCACGTGAGCCGTGAGACGTAAGCGGGAGGGGACCGAGGAAGAGCGAGGCCGAGGAGGTCCCTTTGCGGCCGGCAGCACTGTCTTTTTTTCTCCGCGATGAATAGCAGGTTGGCGGCGGTAGGTGCGCGCACCGAAATGCTATTCATCCGGGTCTCTTTAAAAAGTCGTTTCTCTAAACGTCTATCTCGCTATCGCGGCCGCACAGCGAGCGAGTGCGCATTCTGCGCGAGGCTGTGCACCGAGAGAGAGCCTGCAACCGACTTTTGTGCGCCACGACGGCCTGTCGTGCAAACGAGACGGTCGGTCCGCGAAACCCGACACGACGACGGCTCCTATTCATCCGCGATTTCACCCTGAAATAGTGCCGACCCCCCTCTCTCACTCTCTCTGCACTCGACGACGATGGAGCTCGAACTTGGTCGGATGGAAAACTTGAAATGCCTTAACAAGCACGAATGACACAGATTCGCGTGGACGCTTTTGTCGCGTCTCCAGCCACGGGTAACGGCGCCGGTCGCGCGCGCTTTTACGTTTCGTTAATGGAAATTATAACTCGGAAAATATCACGGCGGTGTATAATCCATCCCCCGCGGGAGAGGGTAAGGGAGTTAAAGGCGGATCATATGGAATCGTGTGTGCTCGAGCCAATTTCGTCCTCCGCCGGCGTAATTATTTGCACTTTCGCGCAACTTTCCGTTGTCGCGCGGAGGACGTTGGCTCGCCGAGGAACGATAACCGTGCGGGATTGCGCGCGATTATCCGACGTTAAAATGCGCGCTCGTTCCTTTTGGCCGGACAGAGCATGTTCGACGTGTGGATTCGATCGCACAAACTCGATCTAATTAATCAGCGAGCCGTTCGTTCTCTCCCGCCACAAGTACGCTACGCTTCATTATTCAAAAAGTACCCTCTCGACACAAAGCGAACGGTAGGAGCGGGTGATTGATTTATATTTCGAGAGATTGGAAAGAAGCGGTTAATTAATTAACGGCTTAACGTCTCAACCCCCGGCGATTTCGCGGGAATTGATAACGCGGTTTTCCCAAATTCTCGCGATTTTCCTGAAAACGAGCGAGTCGGATCGACTTTTAAGAAACGACGTCGCCGACGCATCTCTCTCTCTCCCTCTGCGACGCCAATTTCACGACGTAACGGAATAACGGCGCGCGACCCTTCGCGTAAGAAGGCAAGATTATACATTCGAGCCAACCGCTCCGAGCGGAAAGAGCAACGTACCTTTGTAGTTGGTGCTGTCATTGGAATTGGAACTCGATATCGCTGAAACACATAAATTACGCCGTTCAAGAATGATTCAAACGATGCCGCGCGTCAAAGCGACGCGTCAAACGCCTTAAACGAAGAATGCGCCCTTTCTAAGGGCGGCTCGGGAAATAACGAGGCGAGCAGTAACGCGGATAGTCTTTTCAAGTCACACTCTAACTCACGGCTTTGTTTATGCATGTTTCTAACTCACAAAGGTTCTAACTCCTTGTTATCTTTCACTTTACGAGTGCAAACAATTTCAACGCGCGAGCGTGCACCTCCACGCTTGGCAGTTTTCAGCACGGCGATTCGCACTGTGCACGAGGGGGTGTTGGGGGCTGCACCCTCCCCCTGCGCGAGTATACAGGAACTTCGGAGAGAGCTGTGTGCGATTCCGAATCGGCCGTCCCCTTTGCAACCGCCGGAATATCTTTGCGAAAGATTGTTTTATTCATAAGCGCGAACACTCTTAAGAATATAAGATCCGGCGGCGTGCCTTTCTGTCTCTCCATCTCGAGAGTCTCGGTATTTCATAAAAATTCCAACTGTTTTAACACAGCTGCTGCTTAATAAGCTGCAGCCAGCGCAGCGTTGCGCGAGAGAACTGTGACGAACGGACGTACTTCGTCTGAATCCGCGTCGCCGAGAGTAAAGCCGGACACGGGTAACGACGAGTAGTGGCGGTAATTTCATCAGGACTCGTTCTCGCGAGGAGATCGCGGCACGCTTGTCGCCGGAGACGCGTTTCTTCCCAGCGGAGGGAATTTTCGGCGATGATACTTACGATAGACCTTAATGCTGCCGTCGGTGTCGCCCAGCGAATTCCTGGAGACGCATTTGTACGAGCCGTAGTCGGACGGACTAACGGAGCTTATCGTCAGTTTCATTTGTATTTTGTACGCGTTATCCACCAGCACCGGCTCGTATTTTCCACCTGCAACGAATCGAAACGATCCCCGTCAGTGCACGCGACACACACATGTCGCACGGTTATGCCTTCTGTTGGCCAAAAATAATAAAGGGTGCGCTCGACCGAATCCGGCCGGTCACCGAATTACGCCGATCAAGTTACAGCATATCTCGAAAAAAATTATATGTAGACATTATATATCCGCTCGCGCGTTCTCTCTTTGCCCCAATTTCAGAAAAATCCCGCTTAAATAAACCGGACGCGGGTGCACGGGCGAATAAAAAAAAAAAAAAATTCGCTTTTCCGTCATGTGCTGTCAGTCATGTCTGACCGAGTCCGCCCGTCGTTCCCTGATGTGATTTACTCTTTCGGCTGGGACTTTAAAATAGAAATACGATCGCGAATATTTTTATCGGGATATGCGGCGATAATCGAGAGCTTTTAAATGACCGTCCCTCGCGCGTCCGCGCTATGTGGGTCAAGCGGGACAACACGAAAAATCTCACAGAGACCTCTCGTCGCGCGGAAATCGGGACGCCGCCTTCTCTTCCGCCGACAACAAAAGCCCGAGAGCGAAATTTAACCGAAGATATCTGTTTCTTAATTATTTCTCGCCCAGAGAGCCGGCTCGGGCGATTTAATAAGCGGTCGGCGCGATTTACGCGGCCTCGTGCCTCGAGATGAGAGCTTCTTTCTCCCGTCGCAATTGATTCGGCGTGTTCAGAGGTTTTTTGATTTACCGAGGCAAGATTATCGCGCGAGGAGAGTACAAAGAGCGATGAAAAGCCAGGAGAAAGAAGAAGAAAGGGAAGACGAAACGTAACGTTTATGATCGCGCGGATATTTATATCTCTTTGGTGTTATAAAAAATTGAAGGGGGATTCTCATTTGGAATGTCTTGTTTGGTGATTTCAAGCATTTCTATATATATATAATGTAATTTAGACGAAAAATAGTTAAATTTATATATATATAGTTTCACATGATTAAATTGTAACTTAAGTTAATTTACCCAACTCTGTTTATAGTTTGTGCAAAGAAAAATTCTAAAAATCACCTAGAAAACGACGATTCAAATGAGAATACCTTCTTCAAATCGAACCGGATTTATTTTTTAGTTGCCATTTGTTATTTATAGATTGACACGACACAGATATTTTGAGCAGCTTATTCCGGGCACAATATATTTTCGGGCATAAATAAGAGAAGATGAGTAAGATAAATGAAAAGTCATCGAGCATTTTTACTTTTTTATAACATGCGATTGATGCAACGCACACGACTATTATCGGACCTTTCTGCAAGTATCCGTGTTTCCATTATTTCCCCCCCTTCATAATGTCACACGCGATTCGTCAATTTACGATCTTTATTGAATCCCCGGGGATTCGCGCGTCGCAACAGCGAATAAAATAGCGAATATCGACATTCGCGATCGCGCCGGAAAGCGCATTATCCATTATCCGTTTCGGGTCGCCATTTCCAACGCGAATCCGTGCCCCGCGCGCTCTTCACGCGCGCCGTATCCCCCTTTTATTGTTCCGTTTTGCATTCGAACCGGGCCCCGTTCGGAGTCTTACCAGGCCGAGAACCGGATGCGCCCGCTGAATGGCATCGATCTAAACAGAAATCACGTTAACTTAGACCGCTCGCGTGTCGAATACCGAAACAGTCACGACAGACGCGGCGGACCACCGTCTTCCAAGCTGATTGAACTATTGTGACGTTACCTTTCGGCAGCGACGGGAATTTGTAGACGCCGCCGTGTCGAACACGGCCGAGACGGAACGTCGTTTACGTCCGTCCGATCGCCGGCCTTGCCGACAAAACGCGCGCCCCGTCTTACACGTCCGGATTGATTATGCAGGCTGTGCCCTGTCATTTGTGCGAAAACGAGGCGGCAGAATTTCGCGACGTCGCTGAGCGCGCGAGCCCCACGTGGACGTTCGAGGGAAGGACGTGCGCCGCCATCGAGCGATTTATTTAAAGTATCGGGAGAAGCGGAAGCTCATTACCGCGAAAACGCGCGGCAAGCTGCTCCCGGCGAAGAGCGGAGGCGGCTTAAAGCGCGCCGGTCCGCGCGCATCGGCCGAGCGAAATATCTCATTTATACATCGAGTCGCTGCTCAATAAAATAAGGGATTGCCGCCGGATTATACCGGTGAATCTCTATACCGAGGATTTGCGGGAGCGCGGCGCGTGATTTCAGTGTGTGTGTGTGTGTGTGTGTGTAAATTAATGTCGGTCGTTCGGCGGACGGAGAGAGCCGATCGTAATAATGTCCTATAAGGGGATGTTATACTTGAAAATTTTACCGACTGGATACCGAGCTTTTTTCTGCAAAATTTACGTCTCATTGGCCGCACAGAATTATAAATGCTTTTCACATTAGAAACGCCCGCGCGAAAATGTACCGGAGTGTTGCGCAACATGTAAGGAAAATGATGAAAATTTTCGACACTGACATCGCCAGCCGTTAATCAGCGTGAATATTTACAGCATACAGAAATCCCGCAAACTTGCCCGATTATGTCAACGCAATCGGGAAAATTTCAAATGGATATTTCTGCACCTTCTCAATTAAATTTCAAAGTCTAAAAGGATGCGAGAAGTTTGTCCCGCGCGGGCTGCATTAGTTGCAATAAGTGTGCACTGAAGCGTTTTCTATTCCAGTGCGGCGAAACTCGAGTTCACTAGACTCCTAGATCTGGAGCCAATTAATGTTGATAATAATTAATCAATTGTACAATTACAACATAGCGCGCCACGTTATTCTTACATTATAGTGTTTTTATTACTTGGCAGCACGCTTGTACTCGTCAGTTCTGACTCGCACTACTTCTATTCAATTCTAGTGCAGTCCCAGTGCAGGAATAGAAAACACACTTATTTTCGAGATCGCCTTCACGTTATCGACGCATATCACGTTCATCGTCGGCTTTGGTTTAACGCGCCAATTCACTCTGCCAGGTCTTCGCGAGGCCGCGGCACCGCCGCGGAGTTTTTGTGTACTTAAAATATGACACGACACTTTCTTTCGCCGCCGCTGCGTGCAAGTTGGGAGGAGGAGATTATTGAAATGACAATCCTTTTGTGTGAGAACGCTGTTTGCCCCGGCGACGTTAGGATTCGGGAGTGGCTGTCAGTTCTCCGGGGAAAAATTCCGCCTGTATTGTACTCGTCCATCGACGAAGGCGATTTCAAAGATGGCGGCGGCAAGGATGAGGAGAGATAGGTAGAGATAGATAGATAGAGAGAGAGAGAGAGAGAGAAGGAGAGGGGCAATTCAGTTTCTATAGAGCGAAACTTGAATTATACAGAGTGAGTCGTCAGAAAATGTAGGTTATTGAAATCGTCTTTGGTATAACGGCGGCCGATGTAAATAACGGGCCATCTAATAAACACCGCCGCGGTCTTTATTAGTGCAAATCCCGCCGATATTTTTAATTAAACCGCGACCGAAAACGCGAAACAAAAAACCCGAGAGAACCGACTTAACGTTCCACTCTGTATTATTTGTACGTAACGCGCGCACGGTTATATATAGAGCCAAATGAATCACCCGCTCGAGTGACCAATTGTAACGTTTCCTCGGAATACTACGGAATTCTGACGTCACACCGTCAAGAACTATTTCCGATCCAAACGACGAATTCAGCGCTATCTGCCGCGGCATCGATCACACGGCCACACGTCTTGTTAGAGCGGCGCTCGCCCGAGATCGCTTCCGATCATTTTTCCAGTCATGCCACTTGGCACACGTGCGAGGAGGGACGAGTAGCCCTCCGTGACATTTCTTATTGCGCGCAATCGAACGCATCACGGCGGCGCGTGTGTGCACACATTAGTGCCGTTAGTATAATCCGAGATATCCGGGTGTTACCCGCGGATTGGGGAACTCGGGTCTTTCCGGGATTACCCGGGTATACACATTTGTGGATACCCGCTACCCGTGGGCACTTGGACATCCACACGGAAGAAAAATAATTTGACGGCGCGACAAATTTTACGCTGCTGCGCGGAAGAATCAGTCGGTGATCACAGGGACAGAAAAACGACTTAATTTAAGAGTGCTAATAAAAGTACTAATCACTCGCAGGACATATTTTGATGAATCTATAGATTATTTTATTGTGAGGATAAATGAATAAATGTAGGAGAGCATTGTTTTGTTCGAACGGCAAATTAACATATCGAAAGGACGAATAAAATCGGAAGAATATTTTCTATACCGGCAACAAAATTGCTTCTGCTCTGATTACGAAAAATAGCTAAATTTAAGTTATACCAACTAGATTTTATTGCTGCCGCAGCGAATATGCAGTAGCAATGTGTTTTCGCTAAAACATCGAAGTTATTTTTCTCCGTGCATATTGAAGAGGGGATATTTTACCTCGATAACCAGAAAAAATAGTAACGAATAAATAGTTGCGAGTTTGCAATACGTTCGTCATTTGTTATCATTGGAAAAAAAAACTAATAATTTGTGACATTATCTGTATATTCGGGTACCTGGGAATCCTGAAAGAAGACCCGGGTAATCGAAAATTGACAGCACTACTACCCATTGTGTCATCGCTCCTTACCTATCGAGAGTTCCACGATTTTCGGCCTTACATATGTTACGCATGAGGTCGAAAACTGCACAAGTAACTTCAGTTGTAATAGCAGGGCGTATATGACGGTGTGTTGCGCGCACGTATGCCGTGTGTACACACGCGCGGCATCTCCCGCGTTGATGTAATCTCGCAGAAACAACTTACGGTCGCGACAACCCGTATTAGCTTTGATCACGTTCGGCCAATAGTCTGGCGCAAAAAAAAAAACAGAAACAAAAAAAAAACACGAGGGAAAATGCGGGATGAGCAATCTCGCGGATTCTGACATCAGGCGGTCAAAAGCGAGCGCGGGATGAAATTTTTACAATCACGTCCGTTCCGCCGGTTCTGTTTATTTGAATGCTTTCAATTAGACGCAAATGGAAATTGGCCGAAGAAATGAAAGAAACACAGGATGCGCGAGCGTGCAATTCGAATGGAACGTTTTCAACGCCCCCGGGGCTAGCCCCAGCGCCCATGCCAAACTGCACTACACCGTAACGAATATGTAACCATAAAAAAAAGACAAACGAAACCGTGGAACCCTCAAAAATGAATTGACAGCGACCTCCGCGATGGTTTAATTATTTTTCGCTGTAGCACTGATACGCGGCCCGTCCGTTTTTATGCGCGCCGCCGACGCGGCTATACGTCAACGCGAATGTTCAATTTTGACGGGACCTGTTAATCGAACGTTCACGCAATTTGTCCGCATAAATCTGCCCGCCACCGTATCGCTCATTCGGCCCGACTCGCGTCGCTTGAAACATTCGTCTCGCGTTATTTTCGTCAATTATCATCCGCCGGTGTGCGCGCGAATCGCTCGTTCCCTGCGCATCGAGTGGGGAAAAAAGGCGGAGGAAACAAACAGAGAGAGAGGAGGAAAGAGAGGACACCTTCGAATTTCTTTATGAACGAGATCCACCTTGATGCTATTTTATCCGTGAATCCAATCTAAAAGTTAATTCCCCAAATGAGTTTCTACTGGAAACACGTCGTGCTTTTAATTTACACGCGGCCGGGGCCCGGTATATATCTTGAAAATAAATGCGGGAGGAGGCAATATGGCGATTACAAGAGGCAATCTAGTTTTTAATGCCGTCAGATTTATTTATTTAAGCAGTACCAGGCGGCGCACACGAGCGAGCGAGCGGGCGGACGGGCGCGCGAACATCTCGCGCGGCTCTTCTTTCGGGCCGTTTATTCGACCGGAATTAGCTTCTGAATAATGCATGCGAATCCGGGTAGCGCGTTAAAGGTATAACACGATTTTATCTGGCATTTATGAGGAAGGCTAAGGACGCGACGAGTATGTATATGAACGCCAAACACGCCCGGCCCCGGAGATCGCCCTTTTCTACGTCGCGCGCGCGGCACGTTATTACATCGCCGTTGCGGTTAGCATTTGCATCTGTATCGAACGCAATAATGTTGCGCGCACAATGCGAGTTTCGACCTTCTCCCCTCTCCGATCACGTTAACGCGTAATCCCGCGTCCGAAGATTTCCGTCAACTGTTTCAATGAAATTGAAAAGCCGCTTGTTTCATCGCGCCTTCCTTCGCGATAACCTACGGTATAGAACCGGCTATAGAGAATTATATAGCGCGCGATATCTCGCGCAACGTACGCGAGCGGGCTAGTAAAACTAAACCGTAAAAGGCGTACATCCGAAGCGTCGTTACGCGCCGTAACTTTCAATCATTGCGACGCGCAATTGGCGCGGCTACGCAATTACTGTGCTGTTTTTTCTTCTTTTTTTTTTTTTCATAATATAGTTAATTCCCGGTCGTAAGAGCGCAGCTTCCTCTCGCGGTTAAGCGTGTATTCGAGCGCGTGCATATGCATGCGTTTGTGTGCGCGCACATCGTGATATGCGAAAAAGATACGAATCCGAAAGGCATGGCGAAAGGATCGATGCAAAGTACTAAAGCCGCCTTTTATAGACGGCGCATAAAGCAGAGCGAAACGCTTATACTCGCGCTTCGCCGGTGTGCGTGTTTATGCGTTCGGTATGAAGCTTTCATTATTCAGAGGGTTCGTTACAACCAGTTATTTTCCTTCCTCGCGAATGCACACTGTGTGAAGGAATACGCGTCGGGGGTGCAATTATCTATCTATCTCTCTCTCTCTCTCGTCGGCAGCGGCGCTCGCGCGCACCGTTACATGAATCATCAAAAAGTGCGATAGGTGCGTGCCGCGGGGGCGATGCATATTAGAAAAGCGTAAAGTCATCCCACCCTGCCTGTCGAGGGGCCCATGACTTTTTCATGAGCCCTCGTGGCGAACCACCGCGAAATCTCGCCGGGCGATTGTAACATCACGCGGCGCCGTTGCTTTCGCGTTAACTTATCGCGGCCGGGCGATGCTTTCACGTCCTTCGAGACAAATCGTTGGTCTTGCCGGAAAACGCGCGCACTCACCTTGCGGCACTATCTTGTCCTTATCCCTGGTCCAGTAATTGATAGACTTCGGGAACGCTTCCGAGGAGCACTCGAGGGTCAGCTTCTGGCCCTCGCGAGCGCCCACCAGCTGATTCTGCACCCAAATCATCGGCGGAACTGAAACAACCGAAGCGCACAACTGTGATCCCGAGTTACATGTTTGTTTTCGCCGTTCTTCCAACAACGAGAAGCCCTTTGTTACGGCTGTCGGCAAAATGTGATAATCGTATATCTCTTCCTCCTGTTATTTCCGATTATTCCTGATAATTGACGCGTCCGACGTGCCTTATGAGAGCGCGTCGGTCAATTAATCGAATTTTATCGTAACGAACCGCTCGGAGGAGAATAAAATGATTCGTGATACATGATTTAATTTAAGCGCGCGAATTTAATTCCGAGTAAAATAAGGTAAGGTGGAAAGAACAATACGTACAATGCACAGTGAGCATTATCCTCTTACTGACGGAGGGCGGCACACCATTGGATGCGATGCATAAATAGGAACCCATATGCAACCGGTCCACCTTTGTGAGGTTGAAGCTCGAGCCTTCCACGGTTGGGACTGTAGACGGGAAAGATAATTATGATAAAATATTAGTAGATTCGTTCTTCGTACGAGCGACGGTACCGAAAAAAAAAAAGAGAAAAAAAAACGGTGAGCTCTCGATTATTCGAGGCGGGGAAGGCCATTACCGTCCATCTCGCTCGTCGCTTGTCGATCAAGTAACGAACGATGCGTGGATAAATCTGCAAGATATTCCCCCGATCGGAGATACGCTTATTGCGCGGAATTTATTCGCACGGGGAAACTTCGTTTGTCGATAAATTGGTTAAAAAAAAAAAATAGAGGGGAAAAAAAGGGGGAGAAAAAAAAGAGGCGCGAAAATTTCATCGAGCGGACAAAATTACAGCTGTACGCTGTAAAGGTATCAATAAGTTTGCAGCGAGAATTTCCGTGGGAAATATGATCGATGTTATCGGTGATAAATCGAAATAGATGTAACTTTTACGCTATGACATCGAATGCTTTCGGTGTCAATCGATTTTCGCCCTGAAACACGCCGTGAACGTCAGTGCTCTCTATGTGTGGAATTTGACAAATTTTTGTTTTTTTTATTCTCGGGGATGTTACAGTTTTCGGGAATTTCGATAAAGTTATAGTTATAGACAGCTCGGCGTGTGGAAAAAGTGCGTGACGCCGTTTCTAGTCCCGGCGCGGCCGGTTACACGTCGATATTTTTATTAGCACTGGCAGCTCGCGTAACTGCAGAAATTCCTGAAAACCCTTGCGATTATATTTCCGTTAGAAAAACGTCGTTTGGTCGGCCGGCCCGGTTCTTAACTCGTTTGTGCTCGCGACGTGTGACGGCGGGGTTTCAACGATCGGTGTTAAAACGTGCGTTTTATCCGGAAATCCAACGGCGATTGGTCAAGTTGCCGCGACAAATGATTCTTTATTTAATTCGCCCGGCGAGCGGAATAACCGGCCGGGACAGCGTTTCCCCGTACTTTGCGTGAAAAATTTCGTCGAGTCATATTTTTAAACGCGCTCGTCCACCTCGGTGAAGTTCGCCAAGTACGTTCGCGCAACTTTTTCGACGTCAGTACCATTGCCGGCGTCGCACGGGACGCGGCGGAAATTGGTTGCCGAAGTTCCGTCACTTATACGTTTCAATTTAAAAGCGCATTCAACGTGTTTACGCGCGTTTACGTTTCGCGTTAGGCAAATTCGCGAATGTGAAAATTGCCGTCCGGAAAGAATGAGCGGGATTATCGCGCGTCTTGAGAAAGAAAATGAAGACGACGCGGAGGGAGAAGTTGCACGCGGTGCGTGTTCGCTCGCGTCGCGCCGGTACATGAAAATTGCGCGAGAAGTTTCGCCATTTTATCAATGTAACCATTATCGCGAACGAAGAAGGGCCACTTCCGCGCGCTAAAATGCACCGGGAAAACGTGCAAACTGCTTTGACGAACGACCGCGTAATGCAGCAGCTGCGGACTCGATTCCGAGCAACTCTCCTCACCCCGACATGTGTGCGACCTCTATAAAGCATTTTAAACTATAACGGTGCGCACCGAGAATGAGATGATAAATAAAACATGCCGCCGACTACTATGTAATTTTCTGAAATTGTCGAACAAGCTATCTCTCGTAAACTCTTATTGCCCGTAAAAAGTATTTAATAACTCCGCCGTCGATAACGCCGGAGATAAACGCGACTCGGAGGATCTTATTATAAACTGTAAATTCTCGCTGCGTAAAATTCCACGAAAATTAGGGCGCGATCGTGAAACATTGAAAGAGCGAAACGACAGATCTATCGAGAGGAGAGGAGAAATAGATAGATAGAAAGAGAGAGAGGTCCGAGCTCGCCGTCTAGCGTATCCTTCCTCCCCGCATTCGAAATTCAAACAGCAATTTACGGAGAGTCGTCAACTCCGGCAACACAGTTCGGAGAGCACCTGTATTACAGGGTGCAAATTCAGTTTACTTATCCGAAAGTTCAGGCTGCCTATGCCCCTTGCGCTGGCCACAATTAAATCCGCCGGAATATTTGCGACGCTGATGACAAATTTAATGCCGTTGGAGGTCGCGAATTAACCGTCCGTCGCGCGAATCCGCGCCCGAAAGAATCGCGGTGATACCTTTCGCGATCCCGGCTGACCCGTCGCGACGTTGGAGCAAACAGTCGGAGGAGCGTTGCGAAATACAATGTGTAATAGCTCGGCGGCCGAGACGAGAAGGCAACTCTCGCAAGTTCGGAGCCCGACAAGATAAGATTACGATGTATCGCATCCAAGTTGCCAAATAATCCAATAATGTTTCGGTAACAGTATCCCGATCATGATATCATTACGACGCGCGCATCGTCGGATTATTATAGAATGGAGCCGAATCTGACGGTGCAAGCGACGCCGAAGTATACTCTTCCGGCGGCGGATCAGCGCGAATATCCGTTTCGAGTGAATAAAACAGTCACAGTCGGTCGGGGACATCGTCGCGCACCTTCGCGTGTACTTTACCGGGCTAATAGCGTAATAGCGGAACTATGGATAGCGCGCGATCGCGGTTTAAGGTCGGTCCGGTTGTTTATTGTCCCCGCAAACGTAGGTGAGCGGAGGGATCCGCGTATCGCGCGCCCACGTGTTTGCCAATTTCAATGCAAATATAGAAGATCTTCTCGGTTTCTGCAAACGTATCACCTCGCTCTAACCTATTGGCCTTGCCGCGCGGTATGTTTGCGCTCCCAAGCGACCGGTGGCTTGGATGCACTCGTGCAGTTTAGCTCGAATGTGTATCCCCCGCAAATATAAATTCTTTTTTTCTTTCCTCCTCCTCTCCCTCCTCTCTCTCTCTCTTTTTCTTTCTTTTTCCCGAGGAGCGGCCTCGCGTGCGTGCCGGAACGAGCTTCTGGCGCGTTGCCGTCGCATTTCAGGATGTTAAAGAGATATTTACTCGGTACGCGAGCTCTCTCTCTCTCTTCCTCTATCCTTCCGCTCTCTCAGACTGTCTCTTCTCCTCTCGCTCAAAACTAGCTTCCAGATATATATATATATAAATAACATCGCGGATCTCTTTTCGGAGCTTTTGTTTCTCGCGGAAGCGAGGAAGACAGTTTTACGGATATCACGGATTTATGAACATTGAGAATTCATCCTGTCTCCTGGAGAGCTCCTTAATCGCGGACATTGAATAATACTTTCGCGGAACGTGCGTCTCGCGCGCACCGTCATCGTCACATATAAAATTGTTCCCCTCGCGCAGTCGACGTTCGGGGAAAGTTTGGCAAATTCATAAACAAAGTTCCTCGACTGGGCAAATTAAAAAGGACGAAATTAACGCGCGTCTCCGGAATATCTTGGGCAAACCGTAGCGGGAAAACTTCGCGAGAGATACAGCGTGGCTAAACTGTCCGGCGGTCTTTCAAGGCAAACACGGAGGGCGGAAATTTTGCGATCGCCGCTCGGCGGGCTAATGACACATAAAACACCCGGCCACGCTGCGCGCAGACGAGAGACGACGAGTTAGGAGGTGGGTTAAAAGCACAACTCCCGAAAGGGACCGCCGCATCGCATGCGAACGATCGCCAACTGCACTCCGGCCGGGAAGTATCAAACGCCGCGCGTCTTTCGCTCGTCGTATTCGATTAGCTCTCGCCGTAACGAGGCGTCCGACGCGACGACGACGACGAGAAAACGCGTCCACCTTAATTCAACGAAATTTTCTCGGGCTTTATCGCCGCCCTGACTGCGAATTACGCTCGTTCGCGGGCAACTCGTTAACAACTCACCTCTCTCCCCGTTGCCGAGGTGAATTAGCTGACCGTCCTCGCGCCGCCAGGTGATGTTGGGCGTCGGTGAACCGGTCGCGGCGCAACGCAGAGTCACGTTCCGCCCCTCCGCCACCACCATGTCCGTGCTGGTCTCATAGTCGACGATATCGGGCGGCACTGGGCAGGGGAACTGTTATCGTTAGAGCATGCCACTACCGATAAGCGCGCGCGGGTTAAGGTGCCCCGTGCGAGCTGAAAAGCGCCGGAAAAACGCACTCGAAAGTTCGATCGAGTTATTCCGATCCTTCGCGATTATACGCGGCCCCGAGTGAAAAACTATCTTCCAGCGAGTCTCGATGGTCGCGTTGAATGGCGAAAAAACGGCGGGATCGCCGCTATATTTATCTTTAATCCATTTAATGGACGTAACTTGAAACGCGGTAGCATCACACAGGATATCTAATAGGAGCGCATCCGGATACCAGAAATTAGGAGGTATACACAGAACGATAAATCTCTCTTTCTCTCTCCGCCTCTTTCTCTTTGTATCAGCGACGCGGCCAAAAAGACCGTAACACTTAGCGCAACAATAACGCGTTTGCGAGTTACTTGCGCGTATAGAGAGAGAGAGATAGAACAGAGCGAGGGTATATCTGTCCGTTCATAAATCAGCCGGCGTGGATTAGCTGTGCACGCGCGCGGAGGGTGGTACACGGCTTCTCAACAACGTATGACACGGGGAGAGGGAGACACGTGCAGGCGGCGCATGCAGACTGCACGTAATAAAGTAGAGAATGATAACGACGCATCCGCGTCATCTCCGGCCGGAAGCGAACTCGCGACGCACCCCGCCTGGGGCTGAACGTTGTCTACGGCGCCGGACCTCCGCAGCTCGGGCATTAAAGAGCCACCCCGAAGGACGTTCTCGTTTCGGGTTCCGTACGACTTCCCGAGACCCGAATAACGTCCGAGTTTCGCGGAGTTTAGGATACGGCGCCGAGAATGCCCGAGGGCGGTTTCGCGCGCGCGTTTGTGTGTGCGTTGCTTCGTGTTCACAACATCCATTATCAAAAATTCTCGAGACCGCGTACGTACATTCGTGAGACGCGCGAAATTGCCTGGCGCGACTTCTCGAAGTCGATTTCCCGGAATACCGCGGCGGTAACCCTTGACCGCCCTCCGAACATCGAGTCGAATGAAATAACAACCTCGTAATCGCGAGGATAGCGCGTCGACGTATATACGCGTGAGCCCGCGAGCGGAAATCATAAACCGAATCCTGTCCCGCTGATCCCCTCATCCGCGGCCGGGCTTTTCCATCCGGCTGCAGAGCGTTAAAGACGAGAGCGTGCTCTCACCCTTATTTCTCCTCCTTTCATTCCGCCAGACTCCCAGGGCGTTGAACAAACGCGTCCCTCGCGAGTAATGTCTTACGAGGTTCGCCAACATGCGAATCGGCCCGAAGGCTGCATCGGTTGCCGGAGGGAGGAGCAGGGTCGAGGTTGACGGGGTCGATTTTATTCCGCCCTACGGCCGGAACTCGATTTGCGGTTGAGTGCCCGTATGGGTGATGCTGAATTGGCGGGTCAAAGCTACCTAGAGTCTCCACCGGCGGCAGCCCCCGCTTCTCCTCCGCTGGCCCTACCTGCCCTACCTACCTATACACAGTCGGGCTTTGGACGTACGTACGTTCGTACGTATGTTCGTTCGTTCGTTCGTTCGTTCGTTCGTTTTGTTCGCTCGACCCTACGCGCCTATTTGGAGACCACGTGGATTTTGATAGCAACGCGATTCGTGGCAAATCCTTGCGTCCTGCACGCGGCATTCGCGATTTCTGCCGACGATTCCGCGCTACGTTGCGCCACGAACGCCGTAACGCGCTGCGTGCACAATAGAAAATGGAACGGAACAATGAGGGAACTGATAATTTCGGCTTTTCTGAAACTGATCTGATTTAAATGGATGGCCGGGCCTGATTATGCATTTCGCGTGTGCACGGTAATTTCATGAGCGGCAATTTGAGCCTTCAGAAATTAACGATTCCCTCGATTATATCCTCGCGCACGCTCGTTAAAATTTTAATTTTCACGACCGTTAATTAGTAAATTTGCAGAGTTATCGCGAAAGAAGCGACGGCTCCTGGCAAAAGGAAGTTTTCGCCGGGAAAAAAAGAGAGGAAGAGCTGAAATATAAATCGCGGCCAACTTTTGCCCCGCGACAACCGCAGAGGTATTGTACTTTCGCAACAGAAACTACAATTCTATGTTTCGAAATTTTTACCGTGGCTTCGAGCCACGGCGGAGGATCGTTCGAACGGTGTTTCCGCTGCGCGCGGTAATTAATTAAACGATTCCGAGTGCCGCTGCGGCGAAACAATTTGCGAATTATAATCCAATGACCGTCCGATTTCTCAGGTCGATGTGTACGGCGAAAACTTTGCGAACAAATTGGGCACTATTGCGGTCGCAATTCGCTTTTACTCCTCCATTCCGTCCGCTATTCCGCGTGTTTTGTAACCTCACGGACGCCAAACTACGAAACAAAACTCAATGCAATCGCTCATGCGGCCGCCGCCGTCTATCCCACCGCATCAATCTAAACCCGAATCTTAACCCGCGCAGCGCGCGTGCACATGTACGAGGCTTCGTTTCGATTTCGGCCTGTGAACTCATAACTACCACGGTCTTCGCGTCCACGTTCAGCGAATCGAAATTTTCAATTCCACACTGAGTTTTTTCAGAGAGGAGAACGGAAATCGAATCTTGTATCATACAGCAAATGCTCCTTTAATGCAACAAATCAGACCTCCCGGGTCGAAATTTGAGTTCTATATCTAAGTCTTCAAGTGGAAAAAAAAAAAAAAAAACAACAATAACCACCCCATTCGTGGCATTAAGGTGGTACAATAGAAAAACCGAGACTTAATATAGAACTAGATTAATCCCATGAAGCTTTCAAGCGGAGGGAACGAAAATAACTTCCCCGTTTGTAACATCGTATGAGCTCGATAGAAGATCTAATAAAGACTTAACGTGGAGCCAAATAGACTCGATGTAGAATTAAACATTTCCGAATCGGGTCGCTTGTTTTTTACTCGTTCCTGTCCCTCTTTTCCCTCTTCACTCGGTAGAACGCAATGCGTGAAACGTTTGCGAATTTTTGAAAACGTCGAGCGGTCTCTCCGTTAAAGTCACACACGACGCGCGGCGATAACGGACGCGAGAGGCCACGCGCGATTTCGGACCGTTTACCTTGATGAAATACAGAGCGCCGTCGAGATTACAGGCTATTGAGCATTAGTAATGAGCGGCTCAGTTTCTGTTATTCCGCGCGTCCGTTTCGCCTCGGCCGGGTATTCGCGCGCACACGACGCGTAAGCCGGTACCCGTCCGTGCGTCTGTCATCCTCGTATCAATCCCGGACTCCGCCATTGTGGCGCACCCCCTCCTCCCCTTCGGCTTATGCGCCCGGATATAAAACAATTTTAATGCGGAAGAGAGATGAAACACGCGGTGACAGCCGCGTCCCTTTGACGCGAGCGAATAATCACTCGACTCAGTCGGCGGGACTACGGATGGCAGTATTGTTCTTGCGACGGGCAATTTTCACGGCTGCCGCGAACAGGGGGATATGTATCGCGAAGGGCGTCATTGTTATCGGTTAACGGGAAGGGCGTGCGCCACTGTCGTCGTCGTGACTGCCGACGATATAATGATATGCAAATAAGTTATTACAGCGTGGCCGAATACTTCCGGCGCCGGGATTGATATACGTCCGCGCGATGTTTTCCCTTTTCGATACGGCCCGTTCGCCGTCGTGTATCTCCGGTTATGATACGCACCGAGTTACGAGGAATTCTATGTATTAAAGCGTATCCTCCCCCAGTCTATATCGCGTATCAACCTCAATCCGCCTCGCCCATCCGGCAACAACCTCGGAGATTCGCAGAGTCCTGGAAACTCACCACTCCTCCACGTGACTGTGCACTTCGTTTCATCTAACGTTGTTTCTACCGCCGCGAGGTTACCGGGATGACCCGGGCCAATTTCACCTAACTGCGGTCTTCTTCAAACTTCTGATGCATTTCCTAATGCGTCCGCCACGGAATTCGACGTTCCCCACGAAGGGAGGAAGAAAAAAGAGAAGAGGTTTGTATGATATATACGTCCCGCTTCGATAATCGCTTTTCGCTTCTCGCCCTGTCGCACCGTAAGCGGAATACTAATGAGAGTTCCTCGATAAATGACAGCAATCAGACCGCCGTCGTATCGCCGCTCTTTTTGCGGCCATCCCTTCTTCTCAGCGGGGCTGGCGCAAAAATCTTCGAGAGCGAGGTAGACTTGTATCAGGTATCAATCCGGCCCCATCCCGTCCATCCTCCACGTAACAGCCTCCACCATGCCGGATTCTCTTGGACTCACCCCTCGTCCAATGCGCGCTCGTTTCGTGGAACGTCGTTTCTACCGGTGCAACTGACGTTGAGTAGCGTGGCGGGGTTGGGTTAAAAAAGTGCAGTGCATCGGACGAGCGCCGCAAGCCGAGCGTGGCTTAATTTCGATGCGTAAATCGAACGGCCGGACGTGGGGGGGACGGACGGGGGAGAGTTGCTCCACATCGAAACACGACATGCCACGTAGCGAAGTTGGGAATTCGTTCCAGGCTCGGAAACGACGTTGTAACGAGTGCCGCCTGCAGGGCTATCGGGGCGGGTCTTAGTAAATCAGCCGGGGAATAGACCAGCGGGGCAGAGAGAGAAAAGTTTTGCTCGAATTTATTTCGGACCGACCAAGAGTGTACGCGCTCGGCCAGGTGATCCGCGCCTCGTATCTCATCATAAACCACGTCGAGAGAAAGAGAGCGATGTGACTAAGCGAATTCGTGGTTCGCTGTGTCGCATCCGAGGAACAGATTGATTCGAATGCATTCGCCATCGGCAGGTCCTCTTGACGCGTTAATCGCAATTTTACCTCCGCTATTTATCTCACGCTTATCACGAGGAAGACGGAAGAAAGAGTTGTTAGGAAACAACGTACAAAAGGAACGGCGTTGTTCATTTTTGTCAGATCGCCGTTTCCGGGATACACATAGATTCGGCGGAAGGAGGTAGTAAGTTCTTAACAGAACTAAGCTGCGAGTGAGCGAAGGAGAAAGAAAGAGAGAGAGAGAGAGAGAGAGAG